GGAGTAGTTTTCAGGATCTCCATTTGTTGATGTGGCATGACTCAAAATGATAAGAAACAGCTGCAAATATCCATTAATAATTGGGACATGGAATGTACAAAGTATGAATCTAGGAAAATTGGAAGTTGTCAAAAATAAAATGGAGTACATAAAGATCAACATCTTAGGCATTAGTGAGCTAAAATGGCCTGGTTTTGGACCATTTTTAATCAGACAACCATATTATCTACTATGCCAGGAATGTCAAATTGAAGAGGAATGATGTGGCATTCATCCTCACAAAGAATGTTTCAAGATCTATCTTGAAATACAATTCTGTCAGTGATGGGATAATATCCACATACCTACAAGGAAGACCAGTTACTACTACTTTTATTCAAATTTACACCAACCACCAAAGATGAGGAAATTAAACATTTTTACCAACCTCTCCAGTCTGAAATTGGCCAAACATGCAATCAAGATGTGTTGCTTATTACTGGTGATTGGAATGCAGAAGTTGGGAAAAAGGAAGAATCACTGGTAGTTGGAAAATACGGCCTTGGCGATAGAAATAACACTGGAGATCACATGATAGAATTCTGCAAGATCAATGACGTATTCATTGCAAATATTATTTTTCAACTTCGTAAGTGGCAGCTATACACATGGAGTTCACAGGGATCAGATTAACTACATCTGTGGAAAGAGGTCATGGAAAAGCTCAACATCTTCAGCCAAAACAAGGCCAGGTGCTAATTGTGGGACAGACCATCAACTGCTCATATACAAGTTCAAGTTGAAGCTGAAGACATTAAAACAAGTCCACAAGAGCCAAAATATGACCTTGATTACATCCCACCTGACTTTAGAAGCCATCCAAAGAATAGAGTTGATGCAATGAATACCAATGACCAAAAACCAGAGGAATTGTGGGATGACATCAAGAACACCATCCACGAAGCAAAAGGTCATTAAAAAGACAGGAAAGGAGGAAAAGACCAATATGGATGTCAGAAGAGACTCTGAAACTTGCCCTTGAACAGAGAGTAGCTAAAGCAATTGGAAGAATTGACAAAATAAAAGAGCTGAACAGAAGATCTCAAAGAGCAGCTCAAAAAGACAAAGTCAATTATTATAATGAAATGTGCAAAGATATGGAGTTAGAAAACCAAAAAGGAAGAACATGCTTGGCATTTCCCAAGCTGAAAGAACTGAGAAAAAACTTCCAAGCCCCAAGATGCAATATTGAAAGATTCAATGGGTAAAATATTTAATGAATATTGAACATCAAAAGAAGATGGGAGGAATACACAGAATCACTGTACCAAAAAGAATTGGTTGATGCTCATCCATTTCAGGAGGTGGCATATGATCAAGAACCAATGGTATTGAGGGAAGAAGTTGAAGCTGCACTGAAGTAAGTGGCAAAGAACAAAGGTCCAGGAATTGATGAAATACCCACTGAGATGTTTTAACAAATGGATGCCATACTGGAGGCACTCACTCGTCTATGCCAAGCAATTTGGAAGACAGCTACCTGGCTGACTGGAAGAGATCCATACCAAAACCAAACCAAACTCACTACAGTCAAGTTGATTCGACTCATAGTGACCCCTCCTTGGGTTTCCGAGGTGGTATCTCTATGGAAGTAGATTGCCCAATCTTCTTTCCAAGGAGTGGCTGGTGGGTTTGAACTGCCAGTCCTCTGGTTAGCAGTCAAATGCCTTAGGCACTATGCCACCAGAGCTCCCAGAACAGATCCACATTTGTACCCGTTCCAAAGAAAGGTGATGCAACAGAAATTATTGAACAATGTCATTAGTATCACATGCAAGTAAAATCTTGCTGAAGATAATTCAAAGAAGGCTGCAGCAGTATATTGACAGAGAAATTCCAGAAATGCAAGCTGGATTCAGAAGAGGACATGGAATGAGAGACATCATTGCTGATGTCAGATGGATCTTGGCTGAAAGCAAAGAACACCAGAAAGTTGTTTACTTGTGTCTTATTGACTAAGCAAAAGCATTCAACTGTAAAGATCATAATAAATTATGGATAACATCGAGAAGAATGGAAATTCCAGAACACTAAATTGTACTCATGAGGAACCTGTACACAGACCAGGAGGCTGTTGTTCAAACAGAACAAATGGATACTACGTGGTTTAAAATTAGGAAGTGTGTCATGGTTTTATCTTTTCACCATACTTATTCAACCTATACGCTGAGTAAAAATCTGAGAAGCTGGATTATATGAAGAAGAGCATGGCATCAGGATTGGAGGGAGAGTCATTAACAACCCGAGGTATACAGATGACACAACTTTGCTTGCTGAAAGTGAGGATGACTTGAAGCACTTACTGATGAAGATTAAAAACTAGTCTGCAGTATGGATTACATATCAATATAAAGAAAACACAAATCCTCACAACTGGACCTATAAGCAGCATCATGACCAACAGAGAAAAGATTGAAGTTGTCAAAGGTTTCATATTACTCGGCTCCACAATCAACACCAATAGAAGCAGCAGTCAATACATCAGATGACATACTGCACTGGGCAAATCTGCTGCAAGACCTCTTTCAAGTGCTGAAGAGCAAAAATGTCTCTTTGAAGATTAGGGTGCACCAAACTCAAGACATGGTATTTTCAGTCACCTCATATGCAAATGAGAGCTGGGCAATGAATAAGGAAGACCAAAGTTGATGCTCTTGAGTTGTGTTGTTGGCAAAGGATACTGAAAGCACCATGGACTTTCCAGAACAAATCTGTCCTGGAAAAAGTGCAGCTGGAATGTACCTTGGAAGCAAGAATGGCCAGACTTTGTTTGACTTACTGTGGTCATCCTGTCAGAAGGGACCATTCTCTGAGAAGGGTATCATGTTCAGTAAAATGGAGGGTCAACAAAAAAAGGGGATGCCCCACAATAAGATGGATTGACACAATGGCTCCATGATGAGCTCTGGTACAGCAAGTACCACGAGGCTGGCACAGGACTGGACAGTGTTTCGTTCTGTCGTACATAGGGTCACTGTAAGTCAGAGCCGACTCAATGGCACCTACCGCCACCAGTGAAATTAAATGCAAAATAAGTATGTGTATGCTTTCAAGCAAATATAAATAAAATAAGCCCATGTCCACCTGCTATAAGTTAAGTCCATCTCATGCTTAAGCTGCCTTCTTTCTCACTTGAGTCAAGGACCTTGTGAATAACCCCAAAGGGTTACTACACTTCTGACTGAGGTTACTGCCATAATAATCTTTGTTAACCAGAACATATACTCATGCATCCAAAAGTGATGGTCATTCCTACTGTGGCTTTGATTTTCGCACATATGTACCGTAATTTAAACTAACTTTTTTTTTTTTTTATAGTAAAAGGTAACATGGTTCGAGAAGTATGATTTTCTTCTGTTGTCATTTCAACCACCTTGACAAATATGTATTTCTTTGGATTCAAATCCCTTTCAGCTTTCTCCTCCACCACTCTTTAGGTCCGTGGGGGAAACAAGCCTATTTACCCTGGTCCTTTACTTTCTCTGACTGACCACAAAATTTAAGGTTTTACATCTGAAAGGTAGAACTTAAGTGATGATATCTGCCCATCCTCAAATAGTTAAAAACAATGGAAAAATTTACTCCCACCCCATTCCTAGTAGATCACGACTACAGATTACCATGTTTTCACTCTAAAGTAATGGTAAGAAGAAATAGTTCATGCCTGGCAAGAGTGTAACATGAAAAATTGGAAATATTTTGCCTGAACTCCTTCAAATTGCCCATTTCATAATGTTGATTTTAGCTCAATTTGAAAAACTCAAATATACAGACTTGATTGCATTTAGTTTCAATACAATTAGCCATCAATCCATTAATTCTAACTAGCTGTAAAGTAACCAAACGGTTACTTTAAATCCAACTAGCTCCTTAGGGTGGAGGTAGAGGGAGGAATGAGTTAAAATATGGGGTATAAGATTAACAGCCTGGTGATCCATATAAATAAGTCTAACTGCACACAGAACACACATGCTTCAAAAAAGGCCAACAAAGCCTAAACTTTTTATTTAATCAAACAGCATTTCTGATTCTCTCTGATGTTGGATGTCAAAACCTTCAGAGTCAAAAAATACACCATTCACACTTCCTACATCCACACAGAAAGGGGCCCAAAGGTGGGAGGTCTGGCCTCAGGCTGTTTTTCAGCAGCAAAGGGGGCAGATTTCTCTGCAATCCTGTCAGTTTTTTAATCTAACTGCAAAGCTCTTAAGCTCTTTCTCATCCCCAAACTTTTTTCTAGGGCATTTAACCTATAATATAAAAACACTTCTCTCTCATATGCATGACATTGATTACACAGGCACCAACCATACTTTTAGTTCAGCTAAAAAGTGGATTTTTGGTTTTTAATGGCAAGGAGACATGCATAACTGTGTGCATGTCACATAAGTGTCCTGGCTGTACTTCATGAGCTGGGCTGGTTTCAGTGAATGGAAATATCTCCGTATTTCTCATGGTACCAGTGAATTAAACCCGACCGACAGGCATACCTCGATTTATTGTGCTTTGCATCATCACACATCGCAGCTAGTCCATTTTTTACAAATTGAAGGTTGTGGCCACCCTGCATCAAGCAAGTCTAGTGGTGCCATTTTTCCAACAGCATGTGGTCACTACATGTCAGTCACATTTCGGTAATTCTCACAGTATTTCAAACTTTTCCATAATGCTATTGCATATGTATTAGACTACTGTGTAAACATAACTTTTATATGCACTGAGAAGTCAAAGTACTATTAGTGTGACTTGCTTTACTGTGTTATTTGCCTTATTGCAGCGGTCTGGAACTAAACCCACAATATCACTGAGGTATGCCTGAATAAATATAAATGAGTAGTCTAAGAGCTGCTTCTAAGAATCAAGAGAGACCCACATCCCATATGCCACCCAGATGTGGCCAATTCCTCATGCACAGCTATGTGGGAATAATAAAATCCTTTGGTCAAATTTTTTTTTGTGTGGGATGGATTTTTTTTAATCCCCTCCCTCCACCAAAAATTATTTATCTACATACACACTCAGACACACAGACATAAGCATTCTCAAGAAAGTTTTTCCTCCTATGATTTCAGGATCCCAGAATCCAGCCTCCCTAGGCTGAGAGACGATGCCTGTTACCCACACAGATCTAGTGACCAATATGCTATATGAGGCTCTATGCTGTCTTCCAAGCTGAGGGACAGGCTCAAAGGGAGCAGATACTCATACAGGATTTGCTTTTTGTCTTAAATCCAACCTACTCGGCAACACTGTTAGGTCCAGGGGCTGAGACAGGTTCTATGGGCAAAGTATGGTGGATGACTTGATGGTCCCAGCCCACCGTGGTAAGCAGGGAGTAATTGAGCAGGGACCAAGTAGCATCTCTCACAAAGTCTCTGTGGGCTCGGCTTCTAAACCTAGAAGAAAAAAAGAAGTGTGGCATAGTATGGACAAAAGAAAAAAGCAGGCCCAGAAAAGTAAGCAAACCCAATACATCCAGGGTATATTTTGGGGGTGTCTTATATAAATTCCATTGAATATATGGCCTCATCACCAGGACACCAGTGTGGCTACCCCACAGTGAACTGCATCAATTACCCAAGTCAGTCCTTTATTTTTGGAGATGAAAAAAAGGTTGCTAGAGTAAGGTTGGCGACATGTAGCCCAGAATCAGGTGGCAGATCACAGCAAAGATGAAAGTATAATTCAGGTCACCTGCCTATGCCTTTTACCTTACCAAAACCAGATCCACTGCCATTGAGTCAATTCTGACTCATAGTGACATATAGGACAGAATAGAACTACCCCAAGGCTGTAAATCTTTATGGTAGCAAACTGCCTCATCTTTCTCCCACGGAGTGGCTATATGTTCAAACCACAGACCTTTTGGTTAGCAACAGAATGTTTAAACCACTGCACAGTAAGTTGCATTTCACATATGCTTTTTTTTTTTTCCCTACATGAAAAGGGTAGGCTGCCCCCTTCTGGCAAGAAGGTGGAATGCCAGACTCAGAAATTATAGCCATCACCCACATTCCTCTTCTAACAGGGACACACAGGATTGTGAGTCAGCTCCAGAAACAGAGATTGTTAATAGTCTCTATTGCTCCCATCACCCAGTCTTTTCATATATAGATGGAAAATCTCTCTCCAAGAGAAAGTACTTTGCTGAAAAAGGGAAAAAGAATTGAGCCATCTGCTGTTGCCCCCTCCCCGATTCCTGATCACACAATTCCACTTTACACTTACACTTCAGAAAGGCCTGAGTCCAGCACAACAAGTGAGCAGTCTTCACTGATAGAGGCCAGGAAGGGAACACTAGGAGAAAAGAGATTGATCTCAAGACAAAACCAAGACTAGGATTGCACCTTCTCAGCCCACTGTGAACTGATCTAGAGAAGAAGGTACCTCATCCCTATGTTGGGTTAGCACATTACAAAGTCCACATTACAAATTACAAGGTAGGATGGGGAAAATGGAGCAAAGTTAAAGTTGAAAATCACTCATCTGGTCCCTCCCTGCAATTTCAGCAGTAACTCAGAAACACCTAATGGAAACAGGGCTTTTCCAACTGCACAGTCTCAGAAATCTGCAATATTAATCATTTTGGGTGTTGAGCAGAAATAAGACCATGTCAGAGAGACTTCATAACCCAAAAAAAGACTGTGGTCATAGAGACCTTTAATGTTCGAATATCTCAGGTAAAATAGTGTCTGCTTTAAATCAGCTGCTGTCAAGCTGGACCCTACGTGTATCAGAATAGAACTGTGCTCCACAGGGTTTTCAATGGCTGATTTTTTAGAAGTTGATAACCAGGCCTTTCTTCCAAGATACCTGAGGAAATGTGAACCTCCAACCAAGTGTATCAAACATTTGCACTTGTCTGCTGTAAGGAACTACCTAATCAGCTCATGCTTTGTCAATATAAGTAACCCCTTTGCTACTCCCATTCATAGTCACTAGGCCCCTGATGACAAACAGTACAAGAACAGTACCTATGTGGGGAAAACACCAGCCTAGTGACACACTGGGAGTGCACAGCTGAGGTGAGGGCACACCTTGTGCTCTTGGTGTCTACAAGAGAGACAGTCCCATTCTCATCACCTATAGAAAAGAGAGTGAGCACAATACAGTGGTTGAGACCATGGACTTTGGAGTCAGCCCTACCTGGAATGGAATACTGGTTCCTCGATCCTGGGCCAGTTAACCACTCTGAGCTCTAGCTTCCTCTTTTATAAAGTAGGGATAACTAGTCATTGGGTGAGAATGAGAGAGTTATTATTTTAACCACAAACTACATTGCCATCTTCATGGCCCCATTACCATAACACTGCAAGTATCCATAAAGCAATGCCCATTGCTGTATCTCAGTAGATACAGTATCTACCGTAAAACCTGTCAGAACCCGTGTAAGGAGGAAATCTGTCAAGAGAAAGAAAACTCAAATCTTTCCCACTAACAGAAAACGAGAGGAAAGTGGTAAGACTACCCCATCAAGGGTGGAAAACTTGTGAGACCCAAAAAACAAGGCAGTGTGATCAAGTTCCATTCTCAGAGGTTTCACCGTATTTGCTTTGCACCTCACTGACTTCTAGCCACACCCAGAATACAGGAGTTGGTAAGAACAAGGAGAAAAGCAAATCAACTTGGAAAACTCATCATGTTGTCTAAAGCCAAACTAAAACTACTTTTGGATCATCCTATTTCCTTACCCCTCCATTAGGATAATTCATCAAGTGCCCAAGGGTGCTGAAGACTTTTAACCACCAGATCCTTGTGTGCTATGGATTAACTCTTTCTCTCTCATCCTACCCTTTCCCAGAGTCAATATCCAGATTGCCATGCAGTCTTACCAAAGACAAAGGCTTCACTTTGCTGAGGATGCCAAGCCAGTGAGGTAGGAAGGTACCCAGAAGCAGTACAGCCTGTACAGGAGAAAAACAAGGGTCTGGGAGAAGACTCACAGAGCCTAAGAAAGGAAGCTTCTCCAGTGAACTCACGCTAAGTCCTGGGAACACCTTTACTTAATTTCCCAAACCTCAGTAAGACACTCATGTGCTCATCCTTGAGCCTCAGAGCCTACCGTTATCCATTAGCCTCCTGTCCTTTCTGGCCTATGAGTCACAGGCAAGTTTCAAGCACAAGCATGAAGATGTAACTCTGGTTGGTCCCTTTACCTACCCATTTAACAAATAAATCATGCACTAGGAACCAGGCCTTCCTCTTAGTACCCATTGTGCAAAATGGAGTTATCAGAGCCTCAGGGGGAAATGAGATTTTGTCACTATGTGACAGTAACTGGCTATCTGGCAACTTTGCCTTTGACTCTGGCCAAACAAAGCCTCTTCCAAGTGGGTTCCTAGCACTGTCCTCCCACCATGGGCTCTCTCACTCACCCATCTGTGATGCTGGCTTGGGACAGCGAGTATCCCAGAGTAAAATTCTATTGTCCTAGAAGAATAAAAAGGAAAAAAAAATGGGGGAGGAGGGTGTTGTTTCATAATTCAAAGCAGCAGCTGAACAGCTGTAGCCCAGGAGGTCTCCACTAGAGACTCAAGCAGGCTTTGGCTTTTGGAGAGCTTGGGTGTGGTTAAGGAGTGGGAAGGGAAGAGGAAGAAGCTATCTCACCTCACTACAAGACAGAAACATGGAGTCCTTGTGGGGAGAGGCAGCAACACAGGTAACCTGCCCAGAGTGAGCTGTAACAGAGAGAAAAAAAAGAGAAATATGACAGAGAATAGGCTGGGTATATTATAAAAAGGCAAGTCCAGATACTGTCAAGTGCCAGGAAGGACAATCTGAGAAATAAGCCTTGCTTCACGTTACAACGTAACAAATTTCTTAAGAGATTACTAAGCTCAAACCTAAAGGTTGATGGGTAAGAGTTGTAATGCCTACAAAGACGTAGGGAATAAAGATGATGGAGGAGGTATTAGACACTGAGTAAGAATAGTGAAAAGGCTTTCATTTACATGTAGAAGGTAAATAATTCTAGAATAGCAGTATTCATAATGGAGTACACATACTTCCATGTAGCATACAAAAACATTCCAGGTGGTTCCTGGGTGCTGAAAGTTTTGAAGAAATCAATTTCTCCAATGTTCTCTTTCGTTAAATTGATTGGAAATATCTGCAGTCTGCCAGTTCTTTTTTTTTTTCCCCTACTTCTATTTTCACAATCACCCTTTTCCCACTTTACAGAAGGAACACAGACCTCTCACCCACCCCACATCTTACCACAGTGCAGTACTCAGAGGTATAAAAACCAAGGGTTCTACAATGTAGTAAATTACCTGGTACATCTTTTCTAGCCGTAAGTCTTTGTAAACTCCTTTGTGGAATTTGCCATGAGCAACTGAGGAGCTCCTGATTGTTAAACTACCCACCTGGGGTATTTCTGTTGTGAGTGGCAAAAAGCAATGTTCTGATAAGTTTGCTCTCTCTCAGGTGCTTAGAATTCTGATGTTAAGATTGGTTAGTTTGGCCACTCTGCCAGGCTCAAAAAGAGCCCTCCTAGAGGCAGAAGGGGAGCTCTGGTAGCATAGTGGCTAAGACACTTGTCTGCTAACCAGACGGCTGGCGGTTCAAACCCACCAGCCACTCCTCGGAAGGAAGGTTGGGCAATCCTACTTCCGTAGCGATACTGCCTCGGAAACCCAAGGAGGGGTCGCTATGAGTCGGGGCCGACTCGATGGCACATAACAACAACAACAACAACAAAAGGCAGAAGAAGTGTCTCTGATTGCTGACTGAGAAAGACATGCTGCTGAGAGAATGTGCTCCTGAGAGACAATGCGCTGCTGGGAGAGAGACTGAGAGACACACGCTATTGGGAGACAGACTGTTGGCTGAGAGACAGCGGGCTGAGAACTGAGCGTGTTCCTGAACTTGAATTGTAGCCTGGTGCTTCCCTAATAAACCCCACAATCTGTGAGTTCTGGGTGACTACTGCAGCAAATTATTGAACCCAGCAGAGAGGTGGTGGGTGCTGCAGGAGGAAAGGTTGGTGAAAGGGCCGGAGAGAGGTGGCATGTCTGGCCTCACAGGGATAGGCCTTGGGCTGCTGATGGTGATGCTGTCTTCCCCTTGTGGGGTTAGAGATCAGATGATGTGGCTTCCCTGCTCCTTTGGCAGGCTCCTAACTAAGGGACAAAAGGGGCTTGTCCCAAAGAGCCAAAGAGAAAGCTTCTAGAGAAGAAATACAGAAGGGGACTGACCTTATTTCATGTACAACACAAAAATGAGTGTGGTTATGTGACTTAATCTACTTTTGCCTAATAATGAAAATTTAAAGCTAGATGATAGATGGTTGTCATAAGGACACAGCCAACCAGTTTGCCCAAATTTAAAAATGAAGTTAGACTTTTTGTAACAGAAAATTAAGTCTAAGTTAGCCAACTAGTTTAACAATGAGGATTGGTTTTCACCAATTAGGTTATTTGGTAGATATTGTGCATAAATTAAATGGCACAGTATACAAATCCAAGATTTCTATACAAATATACTTAAGAGAAGTATACAATAAATGTTAGAAATCACCTCCTTTGCAACTATTTAAACTTAAAACCTTTTAGGTATCAATTCAATTTTAACATGTGTGAGGCGGTATAATTTTTCAAAATTCCTTTAATTCAACACATTTTGAATATACTTGTTATGCTAATTGTCAGCTGTAGAAACCACTTTCTCTAGAGTCATCTATGCAGACTTTCTAAGGTAGCCTGTACGTGCTCTGAGGCAGAAGAATGGGACTCAATCACCCTCCAGTTTTCTCCTAGCCCTAGAATCCATGAAAAGGCAATACAATAAAAATCCAGGAGGGGAATTTATTGCTGATTGGAAAAAAAAAACAAAGCTCTGGGATAAGCATCATGGGGGAACATAAAATATGGAGAATACATGCTTCTTCTGTCCTCGAGGGATTAAGAATTCAGTGAGTGGTATAAGACATAACCAAAGAATTAGAGAGAAAGGCTGAAAAAGGATGTGTTAGAAAGAGATAGCAATAACTAGCATAGCACAGGACATATCTAACAAGTAAAAGGCAAGTATAGTAGTCTTTGGGCAATAGCATTTTAACATTATTGACTATGTGCAAGTAACCTGAAGGTCTGAGACATATATCAGTTTGTGATATTGCTTTGGTACAAATGTGAATCATGCACTTTTGTAGTGAAAGGCACTTGGCCATTGAGGAAGCCAGTGATCGCCAGCATCTACATCTCTGAATAAGAGATGCATTACAATGATAACAATTATCTTGATGGAAATGGCTCTCAAAATAAAGTCAACTGCCAGTACCTTTATAATGAAAATGAGAAGAAGGAGGAATACCCAGTGACATCAAGTTGATTTTGACTCACAGTGACCCCCACTGGGTTTCCAAGGTGGTGAATCTTTACGGAAGTAGATCACCCCGTCTTCGTTCCGTGGAGTGGCTGGTGGGTTTGAACCACCAACCTGCTGGTTAGCAGTCAATTGCTTAGGCATTGTACCACCAGAGCTCCTTAGAAAGAGGAACAGTAGAAGAAAATGATGGTTCTTAACAGAAGTGATATTCCAAAGTTTACGACCTGCAAGTCTTTCTTGGGAATGTCAAGAATTTACCATGATCAGGTTTAGCTAGTGCAGAGTATTTGAAGAGGAAGTGACTGTAAAATGGCTCAAATGCCATTTTAAGAAAATGGGATTTTAATATGCAGGTCACAAAAAACAAATAAAAGAGCAAAAGATTACAGGTAGGCAGACAAGTGCCACCATCCATGCAAGATAAAGCGTGAAAGTGAATGAAGGCAAAAGAAACAGAAAGGAAGGTGACAGACCAAATGGAAAAAGAACTTGGTAACCAACTGACTGCAGGGGAGAAGAGTTTGAGTCTGTGTGGAAAAGAAGGTAGTAAGACCATCAACAGAAATAGGGACATTAAGAAAAGGGCAATGAGTCGATACGGGGGCCTGACTTCAGTTTTGGAGAAAAACTAGCCAGTAGGATCCCACCAGCCCTCCTCAGAAGGAAGGTTGGGCAATTTACTTCCATAGTGATACCACCTTGGAAACACAAGAAGGGGTTGCTATGAGTCAGATCCGACTCGACAGCAATGAGTTTTTTTTCAGGATATTCAAATCCAAAATTTTTACAAATATACTTAAGACAAGTACACAATAAATGTCAGAAATCACCTCCTCTGCAACTCTTTAACCTTGAACATGGAACTGCTGTCCCTGACATCAAGCTAAGTTCAGAGAGCCCAAAGGGGGAATCAAAATAAAATGACTAAGGCCAGGACTTTGAAAAGGAAGGAATGCTCACTCACCTCGGTATGAGTTCAGTACCATCTGCTGAGCAAGGTCCCAAACTTTGATGCTAAGAAGCAAAAGGAAACAAACACTTAATCTTGACCAAGGCTTCGAACCAGTTCAGTCATGGCTGACAAGCGAAACCAGAACAGATTCTAATTTTTAAAATTTGGGTAATAACTGGAATGGGAAAAATTACAGGTCACAGCCTTGAAATGGGAGACTCAGAAGAGGTGCAGTCAGCCCTTTCAAGAGCCTGATGCATTAGATTGCATTATTGGCAGAACTGTGGCGAGCCACACACATTCAAAGCAGTTCAGTCAACCAACACCTTGAGTGAGATACTGTTGTTTCTGACTCTGCTCAAAATCCAGGGGGCAAGAGATTTGGTTGCTATGCAATGTGTCCACTGTCCTTGTTTTCTAAAATGGAGATTAAATTTCTAGCAAGACTTTGTTTGACCAATTATTTTTCACATTCAGTTTGTATGGTTCACCCAAATTTTAAAAATTTGGGCCTGTTCTGGTTTTGCTTCCTTGGCCATGACTGAACCAGAATGAACCGGCTCAAAGCCTGCTCTTGACCCAGGCTATCTGCATAAAAACATGTTTTCAAACAAGTACTTTCTTTAACTGACATGTCTGGTTTTTCTATCTTTATCTGCTGGATTTCTGCTATGGTCTATTCCAATGGCATATAAAATTCCTAAGGACACACATGTCATAATCAGTCACCAGGTTCTTAAAATGACCCCAAAACAATACTTAATGAAGCTAATAAGATAGCAAGGACACACAAAGGAGGCCTACAGAGGGAAATAAGAAGAAGAGGGACCCACCAGAAGTCTTTGCTACCGCTTACAGCTTGTGTTCCAGAGCTCAGGACACTAACTGTGGACACGATGTCATCATGCTCATACTTGCAGAACTTGCTAACAATGAGTGTCTCGTTCTCATCCAGCTCCCACAATTCAACAGCACCTGGTTGGGGGTGGGGATGAGGTGAGGAAAACATGGACCTAGGTTTCAATAAGAAAGTATTTCACTTCTAGGACTCATGTAATCCATTGTTACTAAACTAAGGAAATTATTCCCAAAAAAGCAAAGCCTATATTATTAGAAGGTTCAGTTAACTTCTAAGCCACTTGGCTTTATGCTGACATTACTGTTTTCCTAACAACAGTCCAGACAACTAGGGAGAAAAGACTCTAGAAAAAGACAGGGAAAGATGGAGGAGCTGGTAAAATCCATTATTCAGCTTCCAGAGAGAAGATACTTGAAAATCAGCTTCCAGGAGACCAGGATGTAATTTCTATACTTGGGCAGTACAGAGTTTGGTAAGGTTAAACTCTTCCAATTATATAGACACTGACAAGTATTTGTTGAAGTATTTGAATGTATTTCTTTCAAAGTTTTAATAAATATTTGTTGAACAGTTGAATGTCTTGCATAGTGGCTAAATACAGAAAACCCCAAAAAGTTGTCTTAAACATGCAATGTTCAAACTCAACTGTCAGAGGCTCAGTCTTTAATGCCTCACTTTCATCCTTCCATGCAGTAACTCCCAAATTCTTTTATTAATGTCTAAGACTTCATCCCTAAGCCTGCCATTCAAAACAATAAAGCAGAATGAAGACACTAAAGACAAGACCAGGAGAAGAGACAGCACAACTTCAGCATCATCCTTAAAATCAGGGAACATTACCAATGTTGCGGGTTGACAGAGAAGAAAAATTGTGCCAATCTATTTCTTAAATGGGAGCTCTGGTAGCGTAGTGCCTAAGGCATTTGACTGTGCTAACCAGAAGGCTGGTGGTTCAAACCCACCAGGAAGATGGGGCAATCTACTTCCATAGTGATACTGCCTTGGAAACCCAAGGAGGGGTCGCTATGAGTCGGGTCCGACTCGACAGCACATAACAACAACGTTTCTTAAATATGTTATGCATTTAGCTAGGGAATCCCACTAGGCAATTTATAATCTCAGGAAAGGTATTACCACCTCACAAGAGTTAGCGTTTGAGGCCAACACACTCAAGCTCCCTCAATGACTGAGTATAGGAAGCCCAGTCGATCTGTACTCTAAGCTTCCAGTTCACTAGCAGGAATGACACGAAAATAACTCACCTGAATCGGAAGCCACGAGGATACCTTTGTCCCCCACCCAAGTGAGGTCTGCCACTCCAGCTTCCGTCTGGACTCCAGCGGAGCAGAAACCTTCGTTGGGGGCGGAACAAGGGTCCTTGAAAAGCCAGAGGGAGCCAGCCCAGCAGCGGCCACTCAAGCTGGAGGCCCCGAGCAGGAGTGCCCCATCTATAGGGGGTACAAGCTGTCAGCGCGCCAAGGGTGGAAGAGCTCGTCTCCATGGTGACCGCGCCGAGCAGCAAGCGCCGGCTGGGTCCAGATCTGAGCTCAAGAACGCTAGGCAGGGTTGGGGATTAAATTTAGCGATGTAAGTAAAGGATCAGATGGCATGCGTGGCGGGGACGGATTGGAAGGGTCAGTTCAAGGGAGGGGGCGCCCTGGCGCGGGTTGAGGGAGCCCCCAGCCCCGGGATCTCGGCTCACCGGACCGGTACCGCGAAGCCTCCAACTGCCGCTCCATACATGCTGGCGCATTAGGGGGAAGGTTCCATTCGCGGGTCGCCGGGGGCACCAAGGGGGGTGGGGTTTCCTTCCTCATCTCCACGGTCCCAACTCCAGCCTAGAACCAACTGGACACCCGCCAGAGATTCAGGTCCGCTGCAATCACACGTGGTGCGCCTCTGGGCCTCCGCCCCTCTCTCGTGGCTGCAGCAACTCTACTTGTCGCGAGAATTGCTTCCAAGCTCAAGCGGCTGCCCTCGGGCAACAGGTTCTCGCGAGAAGAACTCCAGAAGAAAGTTGGGGGGCAAAGGAAAGGAACAATGTTCTCTTCTCGCGAGACTTGTGAGCGGCCATCTTGCTACTGTCCCGGACAGACCCTTCTGTTGGGGTCACCGGGACGTTAAGACCGCCTTCTGGACACTACCTGACCATGTTGTCCCGGGTGGTGCTGTCTGCTGCTGCCGCAGCGGGTGAGCGTTGTAGACCTTGATCCAGGCTGTCAGGGTGATTAGAAAGAGGTAGATGTGGAGGTCACGGGTGGGGAAGGTGGAGGAAAAGGAGGGTGAAAAGTTGGGCCTAATGAGGAGTGGTCAGTGTTGCTCAAGAGGGAGCTCAGGATCTCAGGAGACAAGAGGGTATAGGGCCGTAATGATCGGACCTTACGGGGACCGAGGAAGGGGAAACTTGATTCCGCCTTGACTTTGTTGACTTGCGCCTTGTGTATCTGCAGCCCCCTCTCTGAAGAACGCCGCCCTCCTAGGTCCAGGGTAAGTGTGAGGAGTGCAATGCTCCCCTTGGTCTTTATCACCCACCTAGTTTCACTTCTTTCTTGGTTTTCCCCCTCTTGCCCTTAGACCAGAAATTACCCTTCAGGTAATTCTTGGTACACTTAAAGGCTTATTCAAACGTTTTGGTTTCTGTAACTGCTTGAAACGTCATAATCATCCAGTTGCAAAGATATTAAACAGAATAAATGATGTGTTCTAATTAAACGAGAAAATGTGATTTTGCTGTCTTCTGAGACCCGCCCCTTTCCCTGTGACCTTCAGCTAGACAAAGCTGCTACTGCTGGAATCAGTTACTGGATTACAGGCCCAAGAACAGACTATTAAATAAATAGAACAATAAAGCATATTGCTTTCAGTCAGTCTTCTACCATCTTACTTTTTATTGCCAGATTATAAGGCACAGAAAAATCATTTACTGATTCAGTAACTATTTAGCTTGCCACTCACAACATAAAACCCCAAAAAAACAAACCCTCTGCCATTGAGTTAGTTCCAACTCATAGCGACCCACTAGGACAGAGCAGAACTGCCCCATAGGGTATCCACATACAAAGAATACAAAATAAGGCTCAGTACCTGCCTTCATAAAACTCACATTCTAGGAGGGGAGGCAGCTATGTTAGAGCACGGTATACCTAGCTCCACCACTTACTGGCTGTGTGGTGGCTGATTTCCTGTCTGCAAAGTGGAGATAGTTGTACATTACGGGCTTGTGAGAATTAAGAGATGTAATACCTGTTAAACTCATAAAAACAATGCTTGGCATATAATATGTGCTTAGTAAAAGTGATTACTGTTAATATTATTTCATAAAACATGTCAATTTTCTTTGGGATTTCTCTTTTGACTTCCTAACTTAGTTCTAGAACCACTACCTGTGACTTAAAAACGTGGCTTTAATCTATCTGCAATTAATTTTGTGTAGAATAAAATAAGGCTATAATTGACTGCTTCCAGCTTTGAAATTTACCAGAAAAAAGACTTTATACAGACATGTAAATAAAGAATTGGAATACAGTGTAATGCACTGACTATATATACAAAATACAACTAAACACAGTCTTGATTTTTTTTTCACCCTTAAGATCTAATTCATTATCAAATTATTATTCTTGACATGAACCACTTTCCAAACCACTTCTTCCTTTTTTTTTTTTTTTTTTCTTTTTTTCCCTTTGTCCTTTCCTATCGATTCTGGCTGTCTGAGCTTTATTCCTGGGTAAATGCTGCACATCTGATGTCTTATGGTTGATAGGTCTCAGGAGTGTGTACGTGCCTGGTGTTTTTGTTCACCTCATAGGACTGTCTACTATTTGACTGAAAGTTGAGCCACGGTGGTGAGTTCAGCTCTGGACTTGAAGGGTGACTAAGGGTCACAGTCTCAGGGGCTCTGCCAGTCTCTATAAGACCAGTCAGCTGGTTATTTTTTTATGACTTTGAGTTTTGCTCCACATTTTTCTCCCACTCTATCCAGAACTCCTATTGTGATCCTTTTCAGTGGCTGGCAGTGGTAGCTGGGCACCATCTAGTTCTTTAGTTGTGAAAACCCAAGACCACTTCTGCTGTAGTAAAAATCACTATCATTTTTCACCTGGGCTATTTCAATAGTCTCTTAATTAGACTTCTTTTGACTCTATTCTTGCCTCATTATAACCATTTCTCACAATTAAAAAAACAGTTGCTGTCAAATCTGTTCTATCTCATGGCAACCCCATGTGTTCAGAGTAGAACTTAGCAGTTCCCTAAGGCTTTCAAGGTGTGACCTTTCAGAAGCAGCTCTCTAGTCCTGTTTTCCAAGCTTTTTTGAATGGGTCCAAACTACCAAGCTTGTAATAATTATTTGAGACACTCAGGAAGTTAGCCAGGGATTATGTCAGTCCCCCATGCCACTTGAAATAAAATTCAAGCTATTTAGTGTTATCTAGAAGGCCCAGCATAAATTGACCCCCATCATACCTCTTTGATGTTATCTCCTTTATCTTTTTTTTAGTTCATTCTCCAGCCCTGTTGACCTCCTTGCTATTCCTCTGAAAACTGCCAAGCTTGATAGCAGATATGAAAAAGACTGCTGTTGTTGTTGTTATGTGCCGTCAAGTCGGCCCCGACTCATAGCGACCCCTCCTTGGGTTTCCGAGGCAGTATCACTATGGAAGTAGGATTGCCCAACCTTCCTTCCGAGGAGTGGCTGGTGGGTTTGAACCAACAGCCTTCTGGTTAGTATTCAAGTGCTTTAGCCACTATGCTACCAGGGGGATTTTATTTGATTAGAAGCGTAATAGATGACACTAAAAAAAAAAAAAAAAAACTCCCTGCCATCGAGTCGATTCTGACTCATAGCAACCCCCGCTGGGTTTCCAAGACTGTAAATCTTTACAGGAGCAGATCGCTTCATCTTCCTCCCACGGAGCAGCTGGTGGGTGAACCTCCAGCCTTCTGGTTAGCAGTCAAATGCCTTACCCACTATGCCACCAGAGCTCTTATAGGTAACAGTATAGGTAACAGTATAACTGCTAAAAATGTAAGCTTAGGCTGCTCTAACTTATCTAGTGATTAGTTTGTAAATCACTGTTGGTAATAGTACAGTAGTTCTAGCCCAGTCTTGACAGTAGCAAGTTCTCAGTAAGTACTTGTAAGATGAATGAACTGGTCAAGCTACGTTTAAAGTGTTGTGTTCGGTTCTGGATACCCATTTTTGTGAACAAAACCATAGAGTTCCTTGTAGAGGACAGTTAGGATTTTCAGGAAATTGAGTTGTTTAACACAGATTCCCTGAGTGATAATCTTACATGGAAAAGCAAAATTAGAACCAGTAGGCAGAAGATAACAGGTTGTGCGTAGCAGCTCTATTTAAATATGACCATAATTAGAACTATGCAGCACTGAAAAGGCCTGTTTTATGTAGTGGTTAGTACCCTAATACAGGAAATACTCAAAAAGATCAAAGTTCTTACTATTAAGGAGCTCACAGCACAGAGGACATATAATAGATAGCTACTTAATTCCTAAGGCTTTCAAGGCAAATTTTTCCCTTTTAATAGCTGCTTGATAACACTACCATTTGCAAGCATTATCCTAACAACCCTATAAAGCAATATCCTTTATTCCCATTTTATTTATTCTCTCCACGTTTCCAAAAGCTTAAGTTACTTACTCAAAGTTAAATGATGGATCTAGGATTTGCACCCAGATAGTCTGCCGAGTTTATGGTCTTGTTTATTTATTGTTAGTAATAGACAAAGTGCTACACAAGTGACCTCTCAGGCTTATGGAAGGGATTCCAATATTGGATAGAAGGTTGCAGAAGGCTTTAAGTGTCTGTAATTGAGTCATTTGCCCTTGTCACACAGTTAATTATCAGATTCTCATGCTCCCTTTTCTAGTCCCTTTCCTCTTTCCACTTTATCAGTTACTGGGAAACTCCCTCAATCTTCATTGTATTGTTTCTGCTAATTTTTCAAGTGTATGTTTTCTTCAAAGGATAGGCTTTAAATTTGTGGAATTGCTGCCTACAGGGTATTGCAAGCAACAAGGATCTTTCACACAGGGCAGCCAAGTCTTGCTCCTGTACCACCTCTTCCTGAATATGGAGGGAAAGTTCGTTTGGGGCTGATCCCTGAGGAGTTCTTCCAGTTTCTTTATCCTAAAACTGGTGTCACAGGTGAGCATTTGCCTAGTCTTTGGATGGTGTGGTTTGTATTAACCTAGGATTTTAGTAGCCTCTTAACTCTTGCACGTATACCACAAAAAATCAAGTCAGCTGTTTTTACAAGGAAATTGTAAATGGTGGTTCAATATAACCATTGATTTGATTGCTCTAACTTGCTTTTTGGAATAAATTGCTCAAATTTATTGAATGTCTCCTATATGTCAGACACTGTTCTAGGCAGTGGGAATATAATAGTTAACTAAGTCAAGTGCCTGCTATCATGGAACATACATTCTGTTGAAGGATACGGAAAATAAAGACATGAATAACTGTATAATACACTGTCGGTTAATGGGAGAAGCTATGAATAAAAATAAAATCAGATAAGGCAGTACAGACTATATACATCCATATGAAAACAGATACTGTACAATCTTCATCAGTTTTCCCCCTTCATAGGCATAAACTTTTTGATACCTTGTAGTTTTATAGTGCTATATGCTTTCACTTAAGTTATTTAATCCTGTAAGAATCCTGTGAACACATTTTTATTATCCAAAAGAACTAGAAAAAAGTTTGCCAAGATCATGTTATTTCTTCTGTTACTTCACTGAACTTAAAACCCAGGCCCTCTGACTAAGTTTAGGCTTCTTTCTATTATACACGTTACCTTTCTTGTCATAGCCAAATATTGATAGAACTGTGGACCGTTGAAAACCAATGATTTTCAAAACTTTGTCTTGACCTAAAGTAGCATTTCCCTAACTGAAATTGTAAGGAACATTAGTGTTCTCAGATCTCCATAGGTGGTTAAAAAAGAAAAAGAGTTACATATGCTAGGCCCTTCTTACAAATTCACATTTAAAAATTATATGTGGGAACTCTTGTGGCACAGTGGTTAAAGTATTTGGCTGCTACCCTAAAGGTCAGCAGTCTAGACCCACCAGCCACTCCATGGGAGAAAGATGAAGCAGTCTGCTTCTATAAAGATTTACAACCTTGGAAACCCTATTGAGCTGTTCTCTATTCAGTAGGGCCACTTGTAAAAAATCAAGTCTTAAAAATTTTACATGTTAGACAATTTCAAAAGAAGAACCGTTGAAACTTAGTGTGGGAAACTCTGGGTAAAATATATTGAGATTGTAACCCTTTTATTCTCTTGGTACATACTGACACTTTTGGTACTAGTATTATTTGGAAAGAAAGTAAAACTCTGTCTTAAAAGCCTGTCCTGTCCCTGCCTAACGTCTTGTGTGGCACAGAGGAAAACCCTAAGAAACATAAGTCATGGATTGTGTTCTTTCAGAACTTAGGGCCTGGTTAATTGAAAGCATAGCCATATCTAAAGCATTACATTTAGGTGCTACAGGAGTTAAGAAAGGAGCCGTAGTGGCATGGTGCCTAAGGCATTTGACTGTTAACCAGAAGGTTGGCAGTTCAAACCCATCAGCCACTCCGCAGAAGGAAGACTGGGCAATCTACTTGTGTAAAGATTTCCACCTCAGAAACTCAAAGGGAGGTCACTATGAGTTGGAATCGACTGGATGGCAGTAAGTTTGGGATTTTTTGAGGAGCTGAGAATTCTGATACTTTAATTCTTCCTTTTGTATACATATTACTTTGTAGTTGCTTTTTGTTTATTTCCAGTGTTAGGTTGCTATTAAATAGAAGTAGACCAGAATGGATAGATTTTATCCTGTATAATGTTCGTATTCAATAAGTAGTATATTTTACTGGACATAATAGTTTAGAAAGTAACCTGATACCTTTGTAGAATAGCCCTGTTTGTTGAACTACTGTGCTATACTTACATTATTTCTCAATTTCATCAACATGAAGAAGGCACTATTCCCATTTATTTTACAAATAGAGAAACTGAAATCAGTTTTTGATAAATTGCATAGTCACAACTCTTATTTTCGCTGAGTCCAGATTCTTGTTCTTTCAACTCTGCCATACTGCTTAATTTAGTGTTTTGTTTTTGAATATGATACTTAACTGCCTTTAACTAACCAAATGCAGCAGTACCTATTTTCTCTTTTTAGGCATAATATATTCATTCATAAATAACTTTTTTTTTTTTTTTTAGGACCCTACATGCTTGGAACTGGGCTTATCTTATATTTTCTATCCAAAGAAATATATGTGATTACCCCAGAAACCATCACTACTGTATCAACAGTAGGGTTGCTTGTATATGCAATTAAAAAATATGGTGCCTCTGTTGCACAATTTGCTGATAAACTCAATGAGGTAAGAACCGTAAAACTTTATTTATTTTTAAGACTGTGTAGTAGAAACATCAAGGCCATTAAGAGATATTTATGATATGAGTGTTAGGGGAAGAGTATGCACCTATTACAATTATTAAGTGTTATTGTTAGTTACTAATTTGAGTTTGGGGTTTTTTTTTGGATCAGACTTTCTCCAGCTTTTCCATAGTTTTCATCATTCAATGAGATATTAACGTAGCTAGTATGGGCTAGGTGCTAGGTTGAAGGTCCACTAGGGGCCTGGGAGACAGTTAATTCTTAAGGGTCATAATTTCTATTTTTTTACCCAAATCCTTAATTTCTTTTAGGCTTCTCTTAAATTTTTTTGTCTCTCTGGGAGATGTTTTAAGGATTTGTGCATTTCTTCTTGAATGTGTATATGTTTCTTTGTAGGTGTTTTTACAAATAAGGGATAAAACTTTAAGGAAATATAAAATGAATATGGTTCTATTACTCTTGGTGCTTTTACTGATCTTTATTACACATATCACAATTACAGCAAAAAATTGCTCGACTAGAAGAGGTGAAGCAGGCTTCCATGAAATACATCCAAGATGCAATTGATTTTGAGAAGGCACAGCAAGCACTGGTTCAGAAACGCCATTACCTTTTTGATGTTCAGAGGGTAGGTTTCAAAAATTTCTAAAGAGAATGAAGTTACTCATTTGTTACATTTAAAACAGATGTAGACTCTTCTGTGAGGAATGGTTGAATAGACTGAGCATATTTTCTTTAGAAAAGATAAGATTTGGGTGGAGGCTGGCTATTTAGACACTTAAGAAGTGCCAGATGTACCACTGCTAGCCACTCAGAAGGGATTAGTGCGAGAGATCCTGGATAGAATAGGAGAAAAAGTGTGGAACAAAACTCAAAATCATAAAAACGACCAGGCTTCAAAATCATTTGGAGGAAAAAAAAAAAGCGGGGACCAGGTTTGCTGGTCCGATAGAGCCTGGTGGAACCACTGAGACTATGGCCCCTAGCTGCCCTTCAGGTCTGGAATTGAACCCACACCTGTGGTTTCCAGCCAAACAAAATACAGGCATATGAGTTAAACATTTACCTAAAGTAGATACACTCCTTGGAGAGAACAATTATGGGAGAAAGAAGGGCTGCTTATGCACAGGGAGACAGCTCAGGGGGCAGGAGTGTATGAAGGGATGGACACTGGGAAGAGGTAACTATGGGGAGGAAGTGGGAGGGGAGCTGTTGCGTTGTAATAAACTGTGATCAATAACATGAGACAAAGTATATGTGAACTGCTGTGTAGAAAGTGAATTTGCTCTGTAAATCTTCACCCAAATCACAATAAAAAAAATTTAAAATTACAAAAAAAAAAAGACAACCAGGCTTACTGGTCTCATAGAGCCTGGTGAAACCCCTAAGACTGTGGCCCCTAGTCACCCCTCAGGCCTGGAATTAAAATTCAGTCAAGTGGCTTCCAGCCAAACAGTAGACAGGCATATAGGGTGAACATTTACACCAAGTAGGTACACTCCTTAGAACAATCAATCATGGGAGAATAGAAAGGCAGTGTTTGCACAGGGAAATAGTTCAGGTGGCAGGAATGCATAGGAAAGAAGGACACAGGGAAGAAGTAACCACTGGGAAAAAGTGGGAAGAGAGCTGTTATATTGGGAAGATTACACTCAATGCCATGAAACAAATTGTATGAGCTGCTATATGAAAATGAATTAACTCTGTAAAGATTTCACCCAAATAACAATAAAAATTGTAAAAAGAAAAAAGTGCCAAATGGAAAAATAATTAGAATTATTAATCTAAAATTAGAAAGATTAAAAGCTATAGCACAACACCTTTTAGATACACCCAAAAAGAAGTTAAGTTATAGTTGATTTTAAAATGGCATATACTAACATAGGCCATAGGAGAAATGCAGCTTGCTATACACAACAAACTTGTTTTAGGAAAATCTGATATTTTAGACTCCAGATTTACGAAGCAGACAAATTCACATAACAATAGAGCTTTTCACTATGATCAAAGCATAATTTGATTCTAAAGTATTTTGTTTTCAAAATAAACTTAGGGAACTTACTCAATTATCACATCATTTCTTTTGAGCCTGGTACTTTATGCTGGATATTTAAAGTTAGGTACCCTTACATTAGAATTATAGGAGCACCTATGAAATGAGATACTAAGGGAGAGTAGGTATCTGAAATATTAAGGATCTGGACTAGTATTTCTCATTGTGTAGTTTCTGTACCACTTGCATCAGAATCAACTTGGGTACAGCTGTTGGGAACCATGCCAAATAATGGATGGTTGGACTCAGTCTATGCCCAAATATCACAAATATCCTAATTGTACTATAAAAATAGTAACTCCCTCCTCCTGTAATTTCTTTTCTTTAACACTACTTTATTGTTTGGACTCAACCTCTGATTAGAACTGTCCACCGATGTATATATTTTTTAACAGAATTGTTGAAGATTCTTAACTATATAAATGTTTGAAAATTTTTAGACTATTTGAAAACTTCATTCAGTACAATAGCGATTCAGGTTATAATTTGAGAAGGTTACTACCTTGTACATAATACACACACATACACATTCTAGTCTTTGTTTTTTTAACCAGATTAGAAGATACAACTTTTTTATAAACATCAAATGATGGTAATTTAAGTTTTTGTTTAATTAGGGAATATTTATTTAACAAGATATTTATTGAGCTGCCTCCTGTGTGTCAGAACTGATCAATGCTGGGTGCTAGGACTATAGCAGAAACAAAACAAAGTCCCTACAACATTGAGCCTATTTCTAGGTACTCAAAAAAAACAAAACTCACTGCCATTGGGTTGATTCCGACTCATAGTGACCCTCATTGGGTTTCTGAGGCTATAAATCTTTACTTTTTCTGTAAGATTGCCCCATCTTTTTTCCATGGAGCAGCTGGTGGGTTTGAACTGCTGAGCTGGTTAGCAGCCAGATGCCTTATCCAGATAAGTAGACAGAAAACAATTGAGCATGTGTGTATATCAGATGGTAATAAGGACTATGTAGAACAATAAAGTAGTGTTAAAAAAAAAAAGAAATTACAGGAGGAGGCAGTTACTATTTTTATAGTACAATTAGGATATTTGTGATATTTGGGCATAGACCGAAAATAGGTGATATAATGAGCTATATGGATTTCTGGGGAAATAATGTTCCAGGAAGGGGCTCTGGTGGTGCGTGGGTTGAGGCTTTTGGCTGCTAACCAAAAGGTTGGCAGTTCAAACCCACCAGCCACTCTATTAGAGAAGGATGAGGAGGTATGTTCCATAAAAATTTATAGCCTTAGAAACCCTATGGGGTAATTTTACTCTTATCGGGTCCTACTTGATGGCACATAACAACAACAACAACAACATAGTGTCACTGTGAGTTGGAATCAACTCAGTGGCTATGGATTTAGTTCAGTGTTTCAGACAGAGAAGAGAATAATTACAAGGGCTATAAACCTGAAAGCCTTACTTATATTCAGGGAGGAGAAGTAAGGAAGGCAACATAGCTAAAGTGGTCTTGGTGAGGAAAATAATAAAAGGAAGAGCAGTAGAGGGGTGCTTAGAGGTAAATCATGTGGGGTCTTACTGGCTTTTTTAAGGACTTTGACTTGCATTGTTTGAGGAGAAAAGTCGTTGGGAGTATTTTGAGCAGAGGAGTGAAATATTCTCTTGAGGGATCATTCTGTTGAGATTATTTTTTCAGTTTTGTTTGCATTGGTTTGACATGGCTGTTTGTTAACCAACTAGAGATGTTGAATAGGCTGTCAGACAATAACATTGGAGTTGAAGGGAGAGTTCTAAGTTGGAGGTGGTAATTTGGAATCATGAGCTTATTGGTGACACATAAAACCATGAGACTGGAGTGCCAGGAAAACAGGCAAAAGCTAAGACTATATCAATTTATGGTTACCCTGCTAATGGTTGAGTAATAAAGGGCCTAAGAATTTCCTGTAGGGTTTAGCAACATGGAAATTCTTCATGACCTTGGTAAGGACCACATTAATGGGGTGATTAGAGTGGGTTGAAAAGAAAATGAGAGAGAAGAAATTGGGATCAGAATATAGACAGTTCTGTCAAGGAATTTTAGCCAGTTGGAGGGGGAGAATGTAGCAATCAAGAGATTGTTTCAAAGATGGAAAATATAATGCTTGTTAACATTTGGTAGAAGTTAATAGAGACCAAAAGAAAAAAAACTATGTAGCAAAGAGTGAAAAAAATTGCTGGAGTGATGCTCTTGCAACTAACATCCCAATAGAAGAATAGGCAAAGGATATGGATAGTTCTTGGAGAAAACAGTAACTACAATTTAAAATATGTAAATTTGCTCCTTAGGTAATCATGGCAAAATTGATTAAGATCATTTTTATGAGATTGGCAAAGGTTTAAAGTAACAGACATTGGTGTTACTAGTGGGAGAATAAGTTATACAAGTTGTCTCTGGAACTTGGCAATGCTTATCTCAGTGTGAAATGTATGTACCCTTTTTTTTATTTAGGATCAAGGGCTCTATAGCCTGGAATACCTGCATTCAGATCCAGCTTCACAATTTATTAGCTTATAACCTTAGGCAAATTCCTTAACTTCTCTGCTTTAATTCCCTTATAAAATAACCAAAACTAAAGTCATTCCCCTTGAGTCAGATTGGACTCATAGCAACCTCTCCTTGGATTTCCGAGGCAGTATCACTACAGAAGTAGATTGCCCAACCTTCGTTCCAAGGAGTGGGTGGTGGGTATGAATCGCCAGCCTTCTGGTTAGCAGTCAAATGCCTTAGGCACTGCGCCACCAGAACTCGCTACTATGAAATAAGTAAAGTAATAGTAACTATTCTATGGTAGTGGTGTAAGCTTTCATTGAGTTGACATAATACAGAGTGTTTAGAAATGGTAGGTACTCAACAAATGTTAGCTGTTACTTCACTCAGCAAGTGTTCACACCTGAGTGCAATGATGTATATATGATATATACGATGATGTATTGCAGCATTCTGTGTAGCTAAAAATGGGAAGCACCTAATCTGGAGCTTGGTTAAATTATGGAACATCAATATAGTGAAACCCAATGTAACTTTAAAAATATAGATGGATCAGATCAGCCTGTAATAATCAAAAATAAAAGTGATAGATGTGTGTACAAATGCCTATATTTTGTTTATTAAATATTTCTGGGAGGAAAGACAAGAAATGTGACAAAATGATAATAATGTAGCCTGTACCTGGGGTAATTTTACTGCTTACTGTTACCTATTTTTACATAGAGTTTTATCATATGCTGTTAGAATTCTTCTTACCACATATATGATATCTATTCATAGTAAGTAAAATAATTTTGCATAAAATATAAGAGGTGGGACATTATAATCGGCAGAATCCTCAGAATGGAAGTGATCCCTAAAAAATGCAAACAGTATACATCATCTTGTCTTAATTTTGACTAGAATAATATCGCTATGGCCTTGGAGGTTACTTACCGGGAACGGCTGCACAGAGTATACAAGGAAGTGAAGAATCGCCTGGACTATCACATCTCAGTGCAGAATATGATGCGTCGAAAGGAACAAGAGCATATGATAAACTGGGTGGAGAAGAACGTGGTGCAGAGCATCTCTACACAGCAGGTACATGAAATCTAGCTTCTAGAGTTGCCCTGATACTTCTCTAGAAACAGTGAGTGACCCTGGTTCATTTTTCTAGAACATAGTAACCTAGCAAATGCTGCACAGCTACCATGGTAGCTTTCCTCTCCTCAGAGTTTAGTTACACAGGGGGTCCTCTTTACCTCTCAGGTCAAAAACACTGGAAAGCTCATTGAGAACATTGTTAGTGGGAAGACTGTGTTCAAATTCCAGTATTTGGATAACGTTAGCCAACATATTTTATTTCTCTGAAAAACATAGAGACTGGAAAAAGCTATTTCTAAACTCCTTCCTTTTCCTAATTCCATGATTTCCATTTCATTTCCTCTTCCCAGACATTTAATTCATCCATCTTGAACAGAAAAGAAATACTACTTGTACTTGCTGTAATGAAGAGCCCTGGTGGCATAGTGCCTACAGCATTTGACTGCTAACCAAAAGGTTGCCAGTTCAAACTTAATAGCCACTCCATGGAAGGAAGACTGGGCAATCTACTTCTGTAAAGAGTTGCCATCTCTGAAAAGCAAAGGAGGTCGCTATGAGTCAGAATCGACTCGGTGGCAGTGAGTTTGATTTGGTTTTGTACTTATTACATGGTTTTATTTCTTCCTTCCCACATATTTATAATAAAATCAAAAGCCGTCAAGTCAGATCTGACTCAGCGGCCCCTCCTTGAGTTTCCGAGGCACTATCACTACGGAAGTGGATTGCCCGGTCTTCCTTCTGAGGAGTGGCTGGTGAGTTTGAAGCACCAGCCTTCGGGTTAGTGGTCAAATGCCTTAGGCACTACGCCACCAGAGCTCTTAGGCATTTCTGATTATTTTCTACATAATCATAGAAGACTGGAAAAACCCAGTCTATCAAAGTCTGATGGATTGTTTTTATTTACTTTTAAAAATAGTGTCTTACGTAAAAAGTATGTATGTGCTTATTTAAAAACTTAGAAAATATAAAAACTATTAAAAAAAAAACTCACGCCGTCGAGTTGGATGCAACTCACAGCGACCCCTCCTTGAGTTTCTGAGGCAGTATCACTATGGAAGTAGATTGTCCAATCTGCCTTCTGAGGAGCGGCTAGTGGGTTTGAACCGCCAGCCTTCTGATTAGCAGTCAAATGCCTTAGGCACTACACCACCAGAGCTCCTACAAAAAGTATTTGTTGTTGTTGTTGTTATGTGCCATCGAGTCAGCCCTGACTCATAGCGACCCCTCCTTGGGTTTCCGAGGCAGTATCACTACGGAAGTAGGATTGCCCAACCTTCCTTCCGAGGAGTGGCTGGTGGGTTTGAACCGCCAGCCTTCTGGTTAGCAGTCAAGCGCCTTAGCCACTATGCTACCAGAGCTCCACAAAAAGTATAGAGGAGACTAAAACTTCCATTCTTGCTAACATTTCTATTTTGCTAGTGTTCAGTTGGTCGTCTTCAAGTAGATACTAGTTGTGCAAGCCAACATCAGTGACAAATGGTGCCAGAAATAGTCACACTCAAATACACAGGTTTCACTTTTAAAAGCTGTCAGCCAGAGCATTTTAATTCATCCTCTGACTTGCTAAAAATCAATTGCATCTCTCCTATATTGAATCATTTTACTTCTAAACCTAGTGTTTTATCATATTAAATCAAGAATTTATGTTGAGATTCTGGTCTTACAGGAGATGGCCATTAGAATTATGGCAACTATACCCTTTGATGTTTTGGTAAGGTCTAACTGGATTTCTGTTTTCTTGGTCATAGGAGAAGGAGACAATTGCCAAGTGCATTCAAGATCTAAAGCTGCTTGCAAAGAAGGCTCAAGCACAGCCAGTTATGTAAATGTATCTTTCCCAGTTGACACAGCAAGAAACACTTAACTAAATGGAAAAGTAGTCTATTGTGATAAATGGTTCTTTGTATATTGCTGTCTACAGTTCACCTTAACCAAAAAACGAAGTTTAGGGGTGGAAAAATGAAGTTTGAATTTGATATATTGAGAGAATAAAAACCAATTATTGGCCAGTAAGGGGTTTCTCTTTACTCATGCTCCACATTTTGAGTTGTTTCGTGATCATTTAGAATAAGCAGTATGTTTTTAATGAAGTTTGGTGCCTGACTAAAGATTATCAAATTACAGTTTCCATTTGTAATTAGTTCTCCCATGTTGCAATAAAGTGACAACTGAAACAAGGTTTTTCAAATTACATAATTTTCTGAAATATTGCTTCAGCTATGTTTGTTGTTGTTGTTCCTATTGTTAGTGCTGTCAGATTGGTTCTGACTTACCGCGACCCCATGTACAACAGAACAAAAAATTCCAAGTCCTGCACCATCCTTATAATCATTGCTTTGTTTGAGCCCACTGTTGCAGCCACTGTGTCAGACCATCTAATTAAAGGTTATCCTCTTTTTCCACTGGCCTTCTGCTTTACCAAGTATGATGTCCTTCTCCAGGACTACTCCTTCCTGGTAATATATGCACAGTCATGAGACAAAGTCTTGCCTCCCTCCCTTCTAAGGGGCCTTCTTGGCTGTACCAAGATTGATTCATTCTGCCAGTCTCAGTTATACTTGGTATTTAGTATGTATATATATATATAAAGTATGGCCAATACTATAATTCAAAGGCATAATTCATAATTCTTCGGTCTTATTCCTTATGCTTTTGTATGTATGTGAAGTGATTGAAAATACTGTGGCTTGGGTCAGGCTCACCCTAGTCCTCAAAGTGACGTCTTTGCTTTTTAACACTTTTTAAAAGAGGTCTTATAGTGCTCGCTTCGGCAGTACATATACTAAAATTGGAATGACACAGAGAAGATTAGCATGGCTCCCGTACAAGGATGACACGCAAATTCGTGACGTGTTCGATATTTTTATGGAAAGTGAATTTGCTCTGTACATTTTCACCCAAATTACATTTTAAAAATAAGGAGGTCTTGGAGCGTATTTGCCCAATGCAGACATCATTGAATTTCTTGTCTATTCTTTCCATGGACATGAAATCCTTCACAACTTTAATATTTTTTCCATTTATCATGATGTTACCTTTTGTTCCACTTGTGAGCACTTTTTTTTCTTTTGTGTTGAGGTGTAATCCATATCAAGGCTGTAGTCTTTGATCTTCATCACTAAGTACTTTAAGTCCTCTTCGCTTTCAGCAAAGAAGATTGTATCATCTGCATATAGTAGGTTGTTTATATAAATCTTCCTCCAATCCTGGTTCCGAGTTCTTCATATAGTCCACCTTCTTGGATTATTTGCTCAGCATACAGATTGAATAAGTATGGTGAAAAAAATGCAACCCTGACACATTCCTGGTTTTAAACCACGCAGTATCCCTTTGTTCTGTTTGAACAGTTGTCTCCTGGTATATAGTACAGGTTTGCATGAGCACAATTAAGTATTGTAGCAATGTTATCCATAATTTGGTATGATCCACATAAAACAGTTGACTGCTAACCAGAAGCTTGGTGGTTCAAACCCACCAGCCACTCCGAGGAAGGAAGACTGGGCAAGCTACTTCCGTAAAGATTTACCACCTAGGAAACGCAAAGGGGATTGCTGTGAGTCAGAATCAACTTGATGGCAGTGAGTTTGGTTTGGTTTTGTACTCAATAGATGGCTTGATTTCTCTGCTTTAGCCAAAATCCATCTGACAACAGCAATGATATCCCTTAGTCCCATGTCCTCTTCTGAAACTGGCTTGATTTCTGGCAGTTCCTGTCAATGTACTACTTGTAATCATTTTTTAATTATCTTCAACAACAGTTTACATGTGATGTTAATGATGTTGTTTGATAATTTACACATTCTGTTGGATCACTTTTCTTTGGAGTGGGCACAAATATTGATCTCTTCCAGTTGGTTAGCTAGGTAGCAGTCTTCCACTTTTCTTGGCATAAGATAGGTGAGCATTTCCAGTGTTGCATCCATTTGTTGAAACATCTCAATGGGTATTCTGTCAACTCCTGGAGCCTTGTTTTTCATCAATGCCTTTAGTGCAGCTTGGACTTCTTCCTTCAATACCATTGTTTTTTTTTTAATCTTTGTTACCTTTTGAAATGGTTTTTTGGTACAGTGACTCTATTCCTTCCATCTTCCTTGATGCTTCCTGCATTGTTCAGTATATTTCCCATAGAATCCTTCAGTATTGCAATTCAAGGCTTGAATTTTTTTCTTCGGTTCCTTCAGCTTGAGATAGGCTAATGTGTTCTTCCCTTTTGATTTTCTAGCTCCAGGTCTTTGCTCACTTTGTTACTTTGTCTTCTCGAGCTGCCCTTTGAAATCTGTTTAGCTCTTCTACTTTATCATTTCTTCCATTTGCTTTAGCTACTCCCCATTCAAGAGCAAGTTTCGGAGTCTCTTCTGACATCCATTGTGGCCTTTCCTTTCCTATCTTTTTAATGAACTTATGTTTTCTTCATATATGCTGTCCTTGATATCATCCCACAGCTTGTCTGGTCTCTGTCATTAGTGTTTGGTGTGGAAATCTATTCGTGAGATGGCCTCAGGATCATACTTTGGGTCTTACAGACTTGTTTTTGTTTTCTTCAGTTTCAGCTTGAACTTGCATATGAGAAATTGACAGTTTGTGCTGCTGTCATCCCCTGACCCTGTTCTGACTGATGATATTGCACTGCTTCTTTGTCTCTTTCTATAGGTGTAGTCATTTTGATTCTTGTGTATTCCATCTGGCAAGGTCTGCTTGTATAGTCACCACTTATGCTGTTGAGAAAAGGTATTTCCAGTGAATAAGTCGGTGGTGGTTAAGGAATTTGGCTGCTAACAAAAATGTTGATGGTTGGAAATAACCAGCTATTCTGGAAGAGAAAGATGAGAAAGATCTGCAAAGATTTACAAGCTTCTAAAGATTTACAGCCCTATGGGGCAGTGCTGCTCTGTCTTGGAATTGATGGCAGTGGGTTTGGTTTTTTGATTTAAGTAATTAGTCTTGCAAAACTCTATCATGTGATCTCCAGAGTTCTTTCTGCCACCAAAGCCATATTTTCCAAATGCTAATCCTGTGTTTCCAACTTTTGCATTCGAATCACCAGTAATTATCAATGCATCTTGATTGCATCATCAGTCATTTTTTTTTAACCACAGAAGTTGGTTTAAAAAACCTTCGATTTCTTCATCTTTACCATTAGTGGTTGGTATGTAAATCTGAATAATAGTTGTATTAACTATTACCATTAGTGGTTGGTATGTAAATCTGAATAATAGTTGTAAGTGCATACATACTATTCTATCATTTGAAATGTTCTTTTTGACAGTGAATGCAATGCTGTTCCTCTTCAATTAGTCATTCCCAGCATAGTAGACCTATAATTGTCCCATTCAAAAAAAGGCCAAAACCAGTCCTGCTAACTAATTCCTAGAATATCGATCTTCAAGCATTTCATTTCCGTTTTGACAACTTTCGATTTTCCTAGATTTGTACATCATACATTTCATACTCCAATTATTAATGGATATTTAAAGTTGCTTTTTCCCATTTTAGTCATGCTACATTAGCAAATGAAGATCCCAAAAGCTTTATTCCATCCTTGATCATCAAGGTTAATTCTACTTTGAGAGGCAGCTATTCCCGGTTGTATTTGACTACCTTCCAACTTAAGGGGCTCATTTTCTGGTACTGTATCACAGTGTTCACTACTATTGATAAGGTTTTCACGGGCCGAGTTTTTCAGAAGTAGATCACCAGGTCCCTCTTCCTGGTCTGTCTTAGTCTGGGAGCGCCAATGAAACCTGTCCCATGGGTGATCTGGTTTTTGAAGTACTGAGGGCATAGCCTTCAGCATCACAGCAACATGCAAAGCCATCACAATACAGAAAATGGACAGACAAGTAGGGGTTTGTGGAGAGCAGTGTTACAGAAGTCAGGAGGGATGAATTCTATGTAGGAATAGTCAAAAGTAACAAAATGTTTTGGGAAGATTAAGAGAAGCACTGAAAGTGTCCATTACGGTTAGTAGTTTGGAGGTCTTTGTTAGAGTAGTTTGTGTTCAATGACAAGGACAGAAGACACATTGCTGTAGGCTAAGGATTGAAAAGCAGGTAAGGAAATAGACCTTAAGGAAAAATCCTTTCCAGTCTATTCACCCCAGTCAATGTGAGATGGTAGCTAAAGGCAGGCATGTTATTGTTTTGAAATGGGAGAGACTCTGATGAATAACAGTGGCAAAGAAAAAGCCAGTAGAAGGACGAAGGGGGTGAAAAAATAACAGTTGATGTAGTAAAATCCTTATGTGGGAGAATGATACTCAGATAACATATAGAGGAATTAGCCTTCAACAAGAGAACTTCCATTGAAACTGGAAAGGTAAGGATGGACCTTGAAAGAATGAAGATTTTCAGTCAGGGGACAGGCAGAACAAAGTGTACCACATGTTCTGGTTACCTAGTGCCACTCTGACAGAAATATACCGCATATGGAATGGCCTTATCAAACGGGTTTATTCTCTTACAGTTCAGGAGGCTAGAAGTCCGAGTTCAAAGTGCCACACTCTAGGGGCTAGGTGAAAGCCCCTCAACCTTGAGCTTCAGCTCTGCCTCCAGCTCCCAGCCCACTGGAGCTAGAAGTTTTTCTTCACTCAGGCAGCTGCTGGCTACTGAGGCTAACAAGCCCAAGGTCAACAAATAAAACAACACAGTCCTGATGTTACCAAACCACGTGGCAGGCTGTTAATTCAAGTCCTTTGATAGTCCCAAGGTTGCCAGAGCATGCAGACTTCTGAACAACAACATGACTACATGCAGGGTTCAAGCATGCCATAAGCTAGAGACAATTCCCAAAGCTGTTTCTCATGTACAGGAAGCAGACCACATCCCTAAAGCAGCTATTCAGCTGCTCCAATAGATTCCACCATGGAGTTAATTACCAGTCTCATCATGGGGAATAACTACCACCAGCTGCCCAGCCATTCAACCAGGCCCAGCCAAGTTGACACACAAACTTAACCACACACCACATATTTGACACTCCTAGGAATTAGGATGAGAGAGACAAAATGATATCTGCCCACAGAATTTACAGTCTAGATCTAGACTACAATCTAGACATTGAACGGTATGTGATCCCAACGTTAAAACTGTGGGGTGCTGTTGCATGCCACTGAGTGGATTCCAACTCATAGTGACCCTATAGGACAGATTAGAACTGCCCATGGGGTTTCTAAGACTGTAAACTTCAAAGGAGAAGATTGGCAGGTCTTTTCTCCCACAGAGTGGCTGTTGGGTTCAAACCCTCCAATCTTTCTGTTAGCAGCTGAGTGCTTAACCATTGCATCACCAGGAATCCTTCTGGAGCACATAGAAGTGAACATAATCTAATAAAGGGGATCATGAAAAGCCTTGAACAAATTAAAGTGAAGGTTAGGGAGATGAGCAGACAGAGGGAACCTTGAGGAGGTAAGAGCACGGCACCTTGGAAAATAGAAGTCTAGTATGACCGGAAGAAGCCCCAGTAGCGCAACATTAAGCACTTGGCTACTAACCAAAAGGTTGGCATTCGAACTCACTCAGTGACTCTGTGGGAGAAAGACCTGGTGATCCACTTCCATAAGATTACAGCCAGATCTGCTCTGTCACATAGGGTGACTATGAGTCAAAGTCAAGTCAATGGTGCCTGACAACAGCAGTACGACTGCAGCATAGAAGGGAGCGTGGCAGGAGATAACACCGGAGAAGTAGATGATCCAGATTATGCAGGCTTATTCTCTTTTTAGCTCTATTAAAGAATTTCATATTCTTTAAAAGAATAGGGAGATTTTAAGCAGAGAAAAGTATGGATAAATGGGTTAGAACGGGTCAGCAAACTTTCTCTAAAGAGCTAGATAGTAATGCTTTAGATTTTGTAGGCATCATAGAGCATCTTGTCCCATAAATTCTGTATTTGTTTTTATAACTCTTTGACCCCTAAAAGACAGTAAGAGTGGGTAGGGAGCCAGTTAGGATAATTAGGGTCTAGGTGGAAGCTGATGGTGACTTTGGCAAGGATGGTGATAATAACAAAAAAGATGTAGACACATTTCATGTACATTTTAGAACTGGAATTGACCAACTTGCTTCTTAGCTAGTTGGGTATTCTATTGAGGGAAGTGTGTAAATTGGCTCCCAGGCAGCTGGCTCTGTGGTGATGCTGTTGAGATAGAGAATAAAAGAGAAGCAGATTTCAAGGAAGCAGGTACTGAATTCAGTTTCATTATTGAATATGAGTTTACAATTAAATCTCCATATGGTGACATGCAGGAAAGTAGCTTAAACTCTGATCAAAGATATGACTAGAAATACAAATTAAAGTATCAGTAGCATAGAGATAATAAGTTAGGGCCTGGGAGTGGGTGGAATAACTTAGGAACACTGTATAGAGTGAGTAGAGAAGGATGTCTCAGGCAGATGAGATGAACGAGAGCTCATCGGCAAGGGACGATGAGGAGGGGCCAGACCATGCAGAAGAGGTGTGGAGGAGGACGATGGATCATAAATTCATCACAGATCAGGTGGTTACTCCTATTACAGCTGTTGTTCTACAGGTGGATTCTACAAGTATCTGTCTTGTATCAGCTATTTTGGAAAATGCTTTTGCCAAAGGAAAACAAGCAAAGACCATGCTTTCACCTGTCAAGTGCAGGGCATCACTTTGTGGAGAGCAGTGTCGCAGAAATCAGGAGTGATGAATTTTATGTAGGAATAGTTCTATACCATCTATACCATCTCTCTGGTTCTCTGTCATCCATCTAGTTTCTAGAAAACTTTATCATCTTGCCATTGCCCAGGATACCATGCAGGTCTACTATTTTAAAGATATAATGACTGGACATGATGAGAAAGAAGTAACAAACACTATTCAGATGCTGTAGTGAGATCTAGGCATGACTGTGGATGATAGATAACCTCTATGAAAATTCAGAGGGCTGACACTTCAGGAAAATTTCTGGTAATTTGGAGCATGTGAAAGCAAGTTGCTTCACTTTGCATCACCTGCCTTAAGAAAACAGCCCAGTGGGCCTCTTTAGATTTTGAGTACAACATTTGGAGTGCTGATCTGACCCATTTTGTGAATAACCAACCCATCAGGCTACCAGTTTTGGGTGAATCCTAAAAAAAGAATAAGATCAAAAACTAGTTTAGATTATGGTGCAAACTGCTCCAACACTTGGACCTTATTAGCCAGCTGTACTGGGTGGAACAAATCAAAACCCATTGTCATCAGTTACGGCGCATAGCAACCCTATAGCACAGAGCAGAACTGCCTCCTAAGGTTTCCAAGGCTGTAATCTTTACAGTAGCAGACTGCCACATCTTTTCCCCTGTGGAGCAGCTAGTGGGTTTGAACCACTGACTTTTTCATTAGCAGCAGAGTGCTTTAGCCATTGTGCCACCAGGGCTCCTCACTGGATTGAATAGTGTCCCACAAAAATGTGTATCTACCCAGAAACTGTGAATTTGATCTTATTTGGAAATAGCACCAAAAAAAGATCCTATTTAACCTCAAATAAGATGAGGTCATACTTGATTAGGGTAGGCCGTAAACCTAATAGGTCTAATATCTTTATTTAAAAAAAAAAAAAAAAAAACAACCACTGCCATCGAGTTGATTGTGACTCATAGCAATCCCCACTGGATTTCCAAGGTGGTACATCTTTATGGAAGTAGATTACCTTATCTTCCTTCCACGGGGCAGCTGATGGGTTTGAACCACCACCTTCTGGTTAGCAGTCAAAGGCCTAAGGCACTGCACCACCAGAGCTCCTTAATATCCTTGTAAGAAGAGAGAAGTTTGTGCACAGACACAGACACTGATGAGAAGACCATGTATAGATGCTGCACAAGCCAAGGAACACCTAGGATTGCTGGCAACCAACAGAAGCTAGGAGAGAGGCATTGGACAGATTCTTTCTTGGAACTTCCAGAAGGCACCAACCCTGCCAACTCCCTGATTTTGAACTTCAAACCTGCATAATTATGACAGAATCCATTTCTGTTGTTTTAAGCCACCCAGTTGCTGGCCATTTGATAGGGCAGGCCCAGGGAATTAATACCCTAGCAAATCCATGGTGTGCAAAGTGTCTGGGACCGATAGAGATGGTGTAAGGATCCTCTAGTAAACCTTGATAGAATCACAGCACAGACCCCCAAAGACTTTAGAGCAATGCCAAGACCTCTTCCACAGATTCTCCTTTTAGAAAATAGCTCTTGGCTTCTTCCTAAGCCCTGGTAAAAACACCTGACCATGGAACTCAAGGACTCATTCTCCCATTATTTACTCTCAAACAGAGAACTCTGTTTTTTTAGGACCCTGTACACAATTCATAATAAATCTATTGTTTATTGTTTATTATTTCTCTCCTCAATTAGCCACTTAGCTCCATGAGATTAGAAATGTTCCTGCCTTGCTGTCTGAAATATCCACATTACTGAGCACCCTGTCTGGCTCATAACATGTATTTAATGATTATATCTAGTATTATTTTATGAATAGATATTTATTTATAAATATATGATTCACTTTGCCTTGCAGGGAACTTAACACTCTTATCACACAGATCTGCACAGCTACTAGCTAACTCTTGCACTGTTTGCTTCTCCTTTTTTATCTCCCTGGTTAGAATAGATGAGATTGTAAACTATTGATGACAATGACCATGTCATACAGCTGTGACCCCACAATGTCTGGGTGGTTAAAGTAAATAAATAACTACTTAATTAGAAAAAAAAAAAAAACCCTCAAATATTAATACTGAATTAGAAATAAACTTGGTTTCTCTCCTTATATCCTGGCAATCACGTGTCAAATGACGCAAAAGAAACTCTCTGGTCATGGGATTTAAAAAGATAGAATTCTGTTGGCCTCAAAGAGGAAGTCTACCCTTAGCTTAGACAAGATCTTTGTGACACACAGCTGGATGATGGAAGCAGTGACAGTAATCTTTATTTCATCATTTCTGAAAAATAGGAGTAGTAATAAATGCAAGTGAAAAGTTCTGCCTTCGACAATTTCATCTTCTGACTGGACTTTTTCTAAAAAGGTAAATGTATTTACTATATGCTTTTAATCTGGAGGAGCTCTGGTAGCACAGTGATTAAGGCATTTACCTGCTAAACAAAATGTCGGCAGTTTAAACCCACCAGCTGTTCCGTGGGAAAAAGAGGCAGTCTGCTTCTGTAAAGATTTCAGCCTCGGAAACCCTATGAAGCAGTTCTGCTCTACCCTAAAGGGTCCCTGTGAGTCGGAATCAACTCAGTGCAGTGGCTTTGGATTTTTTGGTTTCATTTTAGCCTAGATGAGATATTTACTCTCCACAAGAAAAGCATCCAATCGTTAGTGGCTTCATCTTTTTTCCTTTTAGCTATTTGGTGGGAGATGGGTTGTATTTGAATGACTGCAATTAGTTGGTAGATTTTATGGCAATCAGAAAATCTCCAGGGTCGGACAGAGCATGGAAACAGCTATATATAGCACAGTTCCTATTTTAATTTATGCTCTGTCAGAATTTTTTTTTCCCAGCCCGTCCACCCATCTATCCACCCGTAGATCAATGCTTGGCATCACTGACAACGCAGTAGTACATGCAAAAGGGTTCATCTTTGTTGTCTGTACTTCCTGTGTACCTCTCTATGTCTTCCTCTTCCTCAATGCCACTGGGTTTGACCACTCACTTTTGGTATGTTGCCCTTCCTTCACCCAAATCAATACTTGTCTCTGTCAAATGTTTTGAATTGTTGTTTTCAAAAGGAAATGTGTTTTCTGCATTTCTTGGCCTGGTTTTGTAAGTTGCTATTTCCCTGTGACATTGTGTGATGGTTTTGTCATTCTGGGTGAGGTGACCTAACTTATTTTATAGTGACTGTGATAAAATTTCTTTGTTATGATTGTAAATTCAGAGCCACTCATAGGAAGGAAGGATTTTATGGAAACCTGTGATCCTCCCTTCTCCCATATTCCGTGGTAGAGTCTAGTATAAGTTAGTACTTGAGTTAGTACAAACATATTTGGTCATTCTGAAGATACTATGTCAATACTTATGGTGCTCTGAAAAGAGCACTATTGACTTATAAATTAGACAAGATACAAAAAAGTGCTGGAAAAATCGTTACCACTGTTGATTCTTTTGTGGTCTGCACACTTCCTAGTCTCATAACTCGAACTTCTCACTCAACTTCCTTGTTGGCACTTCTCATACTTCTGTGACCTAAAAATGTTGTGTCAAGTATCAATTTCTTGATAATGTTGCTGTTGCTGCTGATATAATCGGTATGTGACAATGAGATGCCCTTCTTCCAACCCACCCCCTGTCCAAGGACTTGGAAATTAACTTTTGAGAGTTGAATGATTAAAACACGTAAATAATTTATGGCATTAATTGTCTAAATAAATCACCTTAAAATACAGCAGAAATAATACCGGTTAACGTTTTTGTTACGGGTTTGCCTGAATGTGGAGTAAAATTGTGACCTCTTAAGAAGTAATGAGGGATACATGCAAAATTTTATGCAAAAAAAAGTTCCCTTCATTTTTATTTATTTAAATTAAAATTGGGAATAATTTCTATCAATAAGCAGGAAATTCGTTAAGCAAGTTACAGTATGCAGATGTAACAGAAAGATCTATCACCGTTAACAGTGTTTATAAAGAGCTTTCAAAGCATGGAAGAATGCTTATGGTAAAAAGTTTTTTAAAAAAAGGAGGCTATAACTTCAGGTATGTTTGGTTTTAAAAAAAAATGAATGGAAAATACAACTAAAAGGAAATATATCAACATATTAACAATGGATGGTGGGAATTTGGATGATTATACTTTTCTGCTTCTTTATGCTTTTTAGTATCAAAACAAATTAAAAGGAGAAAATATAGAAGGCTTAGCAAAATAAACAAAATCATAGCCTAAACAAAGATATTGGCTACTTCAAAAGACGATATATGCATAGAAGAGACATCTGGTAGAGCTTAGAAGAAGGTCCTCCAAGAGCAAGCCTGTCATCATTTACATCAAGCAGATATTGTGGGAGAGTGGAAGGGCAGTGTTTGCTCAGGGAGACAGCTGGAGGGGTGTGAGAATGCATGGGAGGGAAGAACACAGGGAAGAGGTAACTATGGGGAGGAAGTGCAAAGAGAGTTGTAACATTGTGGGGTCAATGTCATAAGACAAAGTGTATGTGAACTGCTGTATGGAAAATGAATTTGCTCTGTAAACTTTCACCCAAATCACAATAAAAATTTTTAAAAAAAAGAGCAAGCCTGTCAAACTTTGCCTAGGACCACCAGGGAAGAGTGAGGTATGTAACACTCTGTCAAAGTCATCTATTCAAGGTCCCTAGATGGTGCAAATGGTTTGCCCCAGACTGCTAACCTAAGCGTTGGTGGTTCAAACCTACCCAATTATCATGGGAAAAAAAGCCTGGTGTTCTGCTTGGCCTTAAGATTACAGCCCGAAAAACCCTATACAGCAGTTCTCTTTAACACAAGGGGTGGCCATGAGTCAAAATCAACTCAACAGCAACTAACAATAAAATCATCTATTCACCTTTTTTCATACTTCTTTAATTCAGTGCTTACAAAGCACAATTATGGTTATAATTTGGCTTTCTTTTGAATGTTTTGATAGCTAGAGTACACCAGTTACAATATGTTTCTTATGTCATTCCAGTTTATACATCAATTTCCTGAGTTGGCGGGAATCAGTTCTAGAGAAATCCATCAATTCTTGGTGTCCTGACAAGATCGTATTTTTGGACCTGCAAAGCTGAGAACCTTCTGCTGAGCCACGGTAACAATGACTTTACTCTGGGCCTTGTAAAGTCTGTGACCACTGGCCTCATTAGAACACCCACAATTTGCCTCTCACTTATTGTTACTCTTCTTATATTAACATAACAGTCTCAGTATCACGCTCTCACATGCCTCTCTTTTCCAGGTTTTTTAAGAGATATCTTGTTTATTCTCAGGGGAAGACAGCATGGGAGGATATCCCTCCAAACATAAATCCCAGATCGGTGAGTTCATGAGAGGAACTATCATCCACCTCAATACTGACTTGAAATGAACTAGAATAATGAAATGGTGTGGAAGGGTTGTAATGCGTCACTGGCTAGTGCAATTCTGGACTTGGAGAAACAGATTTCACCATGATGCAGAATCTAATGCCAGGAGGAATGAAAAGAAGAGTCACAGAGAACCACTTGGACCTCCAACTTAAGTAAACGATGCCTTCAGTTCTTGTTAGTATACCAGATGGATAGTTTAGGAAAATCGAATTCATTACTCTTGTTGTTGTTCTGGTTATGGTGTAGGCATTTGGAAAATTAACCATGGCTACCTTTAGTCAGGCAATTTAATAGTTGCCCTGCCAACAAACAAGCAAACAGACAGCAATTTCCATGGTCATATTGACTTTGGGAACCACTAGTTCTAGGTTTCACTTTTGGTTCTCTACATCCAAACTCATGATTCTCTGCTTAGGTCAGAGGAGGCCTATCTCCCAAGGATCCACATCAAAATCTTTGAGAAGGGAGAGACATGAAGTGTTTATGCTTATCAAAGGGACATATGACTGCAAACAGTAGACTCCTTTCATTTGTGTAGCTGATTTTTAAAAAAATCCTCATTCACGTTTTTATTTTAAAGGACCCAGGATCTAAGAAACAATATTCTCCTTTATTTAGAGTGGCAGCCCATCCTTAACCTTCACTGATTGTTTGTGTAGGATAAGGCATCTGGGGACCAGTGAACTGGAAGGATTCCATGAGAAGCAGCAGACACACTAATGCCTTTCATGTTCTCTTGCAGATGAGCAACAGCCCCACTTCACAGCAGCTCCAGCGGCTCCCTCTGCGCCCTGTCTCCCTGCCATCCCCAAGTAAATGACCATTCTCGACCCATTTCACCTTGTACAACATGGCATTTGATTTTGTGTTGAGGGTTTTTCCTTGGGAAACTGGGGTGGGGGGTAATGGAGAATGGACGAGGGACAGAAAAAGAACTAAATAGGTTTTTGATCATAGGATTATGGTTCTTAACTTGGGTTGTCCTGAACTTTAGGAGGTAGCGTAGTGCCTAAGACACTTGACTGCTAACTAGAAGGCTGGTGGTTCAAACCTACCAGCCACTCCTTGGAAGGAGAGTTGGGCAATCTACTTCCGTAGTGATACAGCCTCAGAAACCCAAGGAGGGGTCGCTATGAGTCAGGTCTGACTCAATAGCACGTAACAACAACAACAGCATTGGACAAGTTATTTGTGCTCAACTAGTAACCTAAAGATTAGCAGTTCCAACCTGCCCAGAGGGTCCGTGGAAGAAAGCCCAAGTGGTCTGCTTCCATAAAGATTACAGTCAAGAAAACCCTTGGGGCAGTTCTACTCTGTAATACACAGGGGTTGCCATGAGTCAGAATTCACTCAGCAGCAACAGGTTTGGTTAGAGCTTTAGGAGATCCATGAGTCTCTTAAATGTGCTATTGTATGTAGACCTAAGATCATTTTGGGGTAGAAGAGAGTCCACAGCTTTCATTGAATTCTCAAATAGATGTGGAAATCTGAGAACAAAAAGTTGAAAACTAGTGGGTAGGAGTGCAAATCAACCAACCAGAGTAAAAGCCATTTCAGTGGTTTGTCCATAGGTGGGAGCAGTTACACTCTGGCCTTTAGGAAAGGCCTTCAAAAACTCAGCGGTTCATCTGCTCCCTTTCTTTGCCAAAACAGCAAAGAGCTTCCTCATCTGATTTTGGCCTTTTTCGCTGGGGTTCTACTGACACTGTTGCTAATGGCCCTTGTCCTCCTCATCATAAAGAGCTACAGAAAATGTAAGTGGTCCCCAAAAGATGGAACAACCCTTCTTTTTTTCTCTACCATTAAACATAAAGTTAACTAGGGGAGGAAACACTGCAAAAATAAAATTTAAAAAATATATGTAGAGAGAGAGTTAACTATGACTGAGTAGGAGTTACTGGGTTGTGTAAACAGTTAACGTGCTTGGCTGCTGACTGAAAACTTGGAAGTCTGAGTCCACCCAGAGGTACTTCAGAAAAAAAGTCCTGGTTATTTACTTCTGAAAAATCAGCTATTGAAAACCCTACGGAGCACAGTTCTGCTCTGACACACATAGGGTTGCCGTGAGTCAGAACCGACGCGACAGCAGCTGGTTTTGGTTATGAGTGAAGAAGAGGCAGGGGTGGTAGCAGCCCATGACCACAAATTCCTTCACCTCACTCTCTACCTTTCCGGCCTCCAAAACCTTCTCCACACTCTGCCCCTTGTGCCCAAGACTTAGGGGAGAGGCTTCTGATCCCTCCAGGTCCCCTTAATGAAACTTGTCCCTTTTCTTTCTGGCCCTGTGGCAGGTCACTCCAGTCCCCAGGTCCTGGATCCTCACTCAGATCCTCCAGCTAAGGTAAGGTGACCATGTTGTTTCTAGGACACTGGAGGCCAGCTGCCACTGGAATTTCCCTCTTTGCTCTGCGTTACTGCTTCTGATAGTGGTGCTGCTTTTCAGACTCTGGGCAAATGACTCTGGGTTTCCTTTGCCCCTCTAGACCATAGCTTTCCAAACCTCTGGCTGCTTCCTTCTTCCTCCCTTTTCTTCCTTTGCAGCTTTCAGCCATCCCAGAGGAGTCACTTACCTATGCCATGATGACTTTCAAAACCTCAGAAACGAGCAATCACTTGACTGAAAACCATTTTGCAGACTTGGACCCCATTGTCTATTCTCAAGTTAAAGTGAAAAACTAACCCTGCCTTTCCAGTGAAGCTGGCATTCTATTCCTCTCATCTCAGAGCCATCTCTGTATATTATTTCCCTTATTAAAAATTTTTGGACCACAACCTAAGTGGAACTGCATTTATTTGGGTATGATCTGGCGATGTTACCCAGAAATTTGGAAGACCAGTGGTCAGGCTTTTTCCAGACCAGAGAAAAGATTACTGGCTCTCATATTTGGACATATAGCCTGTTGAACCCTTGAGGGCCAAGACTGCCTCCCTTATATCCTTCCAGGGGTTTTCAGTGCACAGAGTATTCACTCAGCACCATTGATCAACTTTGAGGAGCCAGCCAAGTGAGCAGTCTATCACGGATCTCAAACAATGAGTTCAAAGATCTTATTGAACCTTCTGCAGTGTTGGCTTCTTCTTCATTTGTTTGTATCCATTACCTTCTCCAGTGGTCAGAAAAGACTAACAGATGGACAGGTGATGGTGGGGTACAGTTTCAAACTCAGCCACTAACCAGCTGCATAATTTGGTCAAGTTTGTTAATCTTTTTAAGCCTCAGTTCCTTCATATTGAAAATACAATTAATAACATTTATCTCTAAGAGTTAGTGTGAGGATTAAATGAGATACCATATGTATAAGCACTCTATACATCCCAGAGTTCTAGGTAAATATGAAGTACTTATTCCTGGGTAAGGAATAAGCCAGTGGTGTAGTGGCTAAGACATTTGACTGCTAACCAAAAGGTTGGTTGTTCAAACCCATCAGCTGCTCCATGGAAGAAAGATGAAGCAGTCTGCTTCCATGAAAATTTACAGCCTTGAAAACCCAATGGTGGCATCACCATGAGTCACAATCAATTCAATGGCATTGAGTTTTTAAGTTTTTTTATTCCCTGGTAATGCAAATGGTTAATGTGCTCAGCTGCTAACCAAAAGGTTGGAGGTTTGAGTCCACCCACGGGGCCTCAGAGGAAAGGCCTGGCTATCTACTTCCCAAAAAATCAGCCATTGAAACTCTATGGAGTACAGTTCTAGTCACTGAGGGGAACAATCCTAATGACACACATGGGGTCAGCCATGAATCTGTGTTGACTCAATAGCAACTGGTTGGTACTGTGTAAAGCAGTATTCAAATGTAGATTTCCACTTCCCTGCTTTAGCATAAGAGATATGCATAACAACATTATGTGGGAGCAAAAGGAAAGATTCATTTAAGCATCAATCCCAAAAAATTCCAATAGACAATGCCGTCAAAATAGCGGAAGAAAATTTTTTAACTAGATAAGCTTACCCAGAAGTTCTTATATAAATAGGAAACAAGGAAAATTCTTAAAAAATAAAAAGGTTATGTGGGAAACTTAACCCTGACAGCTAACTAAAAGTACTGTTTCATTAAGTATGATAAATTACAACTATATGGTAATAGTGCATGAATAAATAAATCAAGGGACTATAATTTAAAAAGAAGACATTAAAATAGACCAAAATTCATAAGGAAATTTAGAATGTGTTGAAGTTAGCATATCATATCCTATCATTTGGGGGGACATTGTTTACTCAATAACTGGTGTTATGAAAAATTGGTAACCAGTAGATGGATATAAAATAAAATCCATACATATTTTCTTTATGTCAAAGTAAAAAGTGGCATATAAGTACTTTTTTAAAAACAGGAGAATTAAAAAATAATAATAATCTCAGAGTTGATCAGGGCTTTGAATGTATGACCCAAAGCCCAGACTCCAAAAGAGTTTAACTTGACTTATAAAATACGAGTTAAAAAATCAAAACACATAGTTTGGTTAACCATTCGTCTGTTGGTGGGGCACTTAGGTTGTTTCCAAACTATGGTATATGCACACAATGGAACACTATGCAACATTAAAGAATAATGAAGACTCAGTGAATCACCTCACAACATGAATGAACTTCGAGGTCCTTATGCTGAGTGAAGTAAGTCAATCACTGAAGGACAAATATTGTCTGAGTCCATTATTGTAAATAGTCAAGGAAAGGTTTACACAGGGAAAGGAATTTTCTTTGTTTGTTACCAGGGAAGGTAGGGACAGGGAAGGGAGGAAAAATAGAAGGATAATTAAGAGACAGGTTTGATATGGATGAAAGGAACAGCAATATAACAAAAGAGTGTGATTAGCTCCATATCACTAAGAAAAAGGAATACATGGAGAGGTGCACAAGAGGTACAGACAATAAAGGCAAACACTATTGCAGGCACAATACTGCATTACCGGTAACAGCAAACACTAATATACGGATGAATATATAGGTAGAAGGGTTTGGATAGATAAATTAAAATAAACCCACCACCATACATAGGTGTGGCAGTAGATACTCCTACATATGTATTTGTATGTGCTATAAAAATGTTTATATGCAGTTTAAACATAATAGGAGGCAAATTTAGGATAGCTTGTTAGCCACAACTAAGCACCTTGAGAGAATAGGTCACTGGTCCTGCAGGCTGGGGCCGTGGTCGTGGAGGACATCAAGCTCAATTGGCACAACAGCATATACAAAAATATTGTTCTACATCTTACTTTGGTGAGTAGCGACAGGGGTCTTAAAAGTTTGTGAGCGGCCAGCTCAGTGGCAACCATTGGTCTCTCCTCATCCAGAACAAAGAAGAGTGAAGAAAATCAAAGATGCATGGAAGGAGTTAGTACAAAGGACTAAAGGACCATGAGAACCTCAACCTATATGACCCAGAGACTAGAAGAACTAGATGGTACTCGACTACCAATGTCAATCACTCAGAAAGAGCTCAAAATTGGAGATCCTGTATAGAGTGGGAGAAGAATGTGGAACAAAGTTCAAAGTCATAAAATAGACTGGGTTCACTGCTCTGATAGAGACTGGTGAAACCCCCAAGACTATGGCCCCTAGTCACCTTCTGGGCCTGGAATTGAACTCGCTTCAGTGGCTTAACTCTCAGCCAAATAATAGACAGGGCTATGAGCTGAACACTTACACCAGGGAGATGCACTCCTTAGACCAATCAACCGTGGAAGATCAAAAGAGCAATATTTGCACAGGGAGAAAAGTAGGGAGGCAGGAATGCATAGGCAAGAAGGACACAGGGAAAGGGTAATCACAGGGAGGAAGTGGGAGGTAAGATGTTACACTGCAGGGAATATAACCAGCATCACAAAAGAAAATGTGTATGTGAACTGTTGAGTATAAAACTAATCTGTTTTATAAAATTTCACCCAAGTCACAATTTAAAAAAAAATCAGAAGAAAAATTATAAGCTTGAAATACATTTGAAAAGCTTCTCGTAGAAAAAGGATTAACTTTCTTAATATGCAAAATTTCCCATAAATCAATAAGAAACATCAGCAACTAGTGTGTGTCGGGGGGACCACCACTCATTTGTCAGTTTGTCATACTGTGGTGGCTTGCATGTTGCTGTGAGGCTGGAGGCTATGCCATCAGTATTTCAAATACCAGCATGGTCACCCATGGTGGACAGGTTTCAGCAAAGCTTCCAGACTAAGACAGACTTGGAAGAAGGAAGGGGCCATCCACTTATCAAAGAATTGTCTGTGAAAACCTTAAAAATAGCAGTGAAACACTGCCTGATATATTACTGGAAAACCTTATGAATAGCCCTGAAACATTGTCTCATATAGTGCTGGACGCTGAGCCACTCAGGTCAGAAAACACTCAAAGTATGACTAGGGAAGAGCTGGCTCCTCAGAGTAGAGCTGACCTTCATGATGCAGATAGAGTAAAGCTTTTGGGGCCTCCATTTGCTGATGTGGCAGGACTAAAAATGGGAAGAAACAGCTGCAAACAAAAAACAAATCAAACTCACTGCCATCAAGTGGATTCCAACTCATAGTAACCCTCTCTTGGGTTTCCAACATGGTAAATCTTTATGGAAATAGATTGCCCACTCTTTCTTTTGTGGAGTGGATGGTGGGTTTGAACCGCCAACCTTCTGGTAAGCAGTAAAAAATGTATAAAGTATGAATCTAGGAAAATTGGAAGTTGTCAAAAATGAAATGGAACATATAAAGATCAATATCCTAGGCATTAGTAAGCTGATATAGACTGGTTTTGGCCATTTTGAATCAGACAACCATAAGATCCACTATGCTGGGAGTGACAAATTGAAAAGAAATAGTGTGGCACTCATCATCACAAAGAATGTTTCAAGATCCATCCTGAAGTACAAGGTTGTCAGTGATAGGATAATATCCATACACCTATAAGGAAGACTAGTTAATACTACTATTATTCCCATTTATGCCCCAACCACCAAAGCCAAAGATGAGGAAATTGAAGATATTTTACCAACTTCTGCAGCCTGAAGTTGATCAAACATGCAATCAAGATGTATTGATTATCACTGGTGATTGAAATGCAAAAGTTGGAAACAAAGAAGAATCACCAGTAGTCGGAAAATATGGCCTTGGTGATAGAAATGTTCCTGGAGATCACATGATAGAATTCTGCAAGACTGATGACCTATTCATTGCAAACAACATAAATGATGGCTACACACATGGACTTTGACAGATGGAGTATATAGGAATCAGATCGACTACATCTGTGGAAAGAAGGGACAGAGAAGCTCAATATCTTCAGCCAAAACAAGGCCAGGAGCTACTGGGGAACAGATCACAAGTTGCTCACATGCAAGTTCAAGTTGGAGCTGAAGACAATCAAAACAAGTCCACAAGAGCCAAAATATAACCTTGATTTTATCTCTTCTGAATTTAGAGACCATCTAAAGAACAGATTTGATACACTGAACACCAATGACCAAAAACCAGAGGAATTGTGGGATGACATCAAAAACATCATCCATGAAGAAAGCGAAAGGTCATTAAAAAAAAAAAAAAAAACAGGAAAGGAAGAAAAGACCAAAATGGATGTCCAAAGAGATGTGAAGTAAGAGACTTCAAAACTTACTCTGGAATGGAGAGAAGCTAAAATGAATTGAAGAAATGACAAGATAAAAGAGCTGAACAGAAGATTTCAAAGAGCAGCT